GTTGTTACATTATATTCAACTTGGTAAAGTTGATTAGTCTTCAACAAGGTCGTTGCTCGCTAACTTTAGGATTAAATAGGAGTGCATACTATGGCTACTCTTTTTATGAGTCTTTGTTGTGTTAAATTAATGTAAAGTAATTGTGGCCTATCTTTAATTGTGTTGTATAAAGTCGTGCACATCCTCACTATCAGCATTTGCATTCTCCAGTCGATGGTGATGTTCAAAAAGTCTGAGTTGAGTAATAATTGTATTCTAAGTGTTGTTGTCCTCAAGGTTGTTGTTGATACAGGTTTCTAGATTCTTGATTCTTGTATTTGTTATCTTTGATCACTATCCATGCTTCGATTAACTGTTTTTTTTATTCCCCATTGTCCCCAAGGGACTTCCACTTATTAAATCCTTAGTATTCGATTTCTATTTGCTTGGTTGCTTCTTAATAGCTCATCTAATAAATTTATATTTTCATTTTATTGAGTTAGAGAGGGTGTCTCTAACCGGTTTAGTGAGAATTAAACGAATAAAAGGAGAGAACCACCACAAATGGTCGAATGAGCCTCTAAATTGGAGAGGCTATGCTCCTTAGAGGGTGGACAAGGCATGGTAAGCCTTCGGTGTCAAACCATTGACGAGTATTGGCTAGATACCAAAGATGGAAAGGGTGATACATGCTAGTATTACTTTATAAAATGGTTTATCGTTCGATGAGAGCATCAAATTTCGTCTATGGGTGGTGGGGTTATGAGACACAAAATCCCTAGGCCCCAGACTGGAGCTGAAAAGCTACCACGTGATAGTGGCCGAAGTGAAAGTCAAATGAGCGTAACACGTTTGGACTACAAGCTCTGACTTTTGAAAGGTCAAGAGCGGGAGTGGAACTCCCAATGAAATGTTCAAGGAACAAGCACAAAGTGAGCAATAAGTGAGTCTCTAGAAAAGGGACACAAGAGGACTAACACATGACACGTGGAGGAGTCCGAGATGGACCCGAGATGGAGTCCGAGATGAACCCGAGATGGAATCCAAGATGGAGTCCGAGAAAGACCCGAGATGGACCCGAGATGGAGTCCGAGATGGACCTGAGATGGAGTCCGAGATGGACCTGAGATGGAGTCCGAGATGGAGTCCGAGATGGATCAAGATGGAGTCCGAGATGGACCAAGATGGAGTCCGAGATGGAGTCCGAGATGGAGTCCAAGATGGAGTCCGAGATGGACCGAGATGGAGTCTGAGATGGACCGAGATGGAGTCCGAGATGGACCTGAGATGGAATCCGAGATGGAGTCCAAAGTCAAGACCAAGACTGGGACCGAGACCGAGGCCGAGACCGAAACCGAGGCCGAGCCCGAGACCGAGGCCGAGCCCGAGACCGAGGCCGAGCCCGAGACCGAGGCCGAGACTGAGGCCGAGGCCGAGACCGAGGCCGAGCCCGAGACCGAGGCGGAGGCCGAGCCCGAGGCCGAGACCGAGGCCGAGGCCGAGCGGAGCCCAAGCGCAAGTCCGAGTCCGAATCCGAGTCCGAATCCAAGTCCGAGTCCGAGTCCAAGTCCGAGTCCGAGTCCGAGTCCGAGTTTGAGTCTGAGAGGGTGAAAGCCCAAAGCGTTTGTCTCCCAGACCCTGGGGGGTTTGGTGAGCTCCAAAAGTATAGTAAAGGGGAGGACTCCAATAGAGCCAGTTTGGCCAGGAAAGGCCAGTTTGGCCTAGGAAGGCTGTACCCAGATGTTGGGTGATGGGATAACCACTGGGAAGTCCAAGGCTAAAGTGAATACGGATCGACAAGTGGGGTAGCTTGGTGAAGTATTCAAGAGCCGGCTCTAGTTCCCCCGGGAGATCAAATGGCCGATGCTCCAAGTCCAAGTGTGGGTGGCATTACCTACTTAGATACCTAGCATAGCTCAATGGAACCTCACTCTAAGCCCTTGGCTAGAGCACCTAAAGGCAGAAGGTGGGGAGAGTACCCACGGGGCTCGCGTAGGGCCACGGTGTTTCGAAATGTTGTCTCGAAGTCCCAAATTGGGGAAAGGAGGAGGAGCAGTCCTCCAATGTAGTGACCAAGGATACGGTCACATGGTGAAGAAGTCCCAAAGGACAATGGGACTTAGTGGTTGGGCCTATGGGCCTTGATCTAGTGGCAGTGTTGGTGAGCATGGCCATAGACAGAAAAGGGACTTGATAGGAACTGACAAAGGGATATTGGGGAAGGTTATTCCCCATGTCTGTGGGCATCTTAAGGATGCTAAAGAGTGGATTTGGGATGACCATTCGTGGATGAATGGCCCAGTCTTGGAGAGACGGGATTGTGATGCAAGTGGTATTGGACCACCAGTGTGGCAAAGGTGAATGGGCATGGCCTTAGTGTAACAGGTTGATATGTCAGTGGTACCTTTGGGTGTCAGTTATGGGATTGGACACGTGGAGCACTTGGGCCAAGTGCAAAGGTTGAGTGGCGGGGATGCCATTCTCAGAGCTAGCATGCCCAAGTCTGGAATAGGACTTATGGAGGTTGTGAATGAGACTCCTCCAAGTGATTGGAGGTGTGATTAAGTGACTAAAGTAGAATGGAAAAATTTAGTCACTTACAACTTGGTATCAGAGCTGTTCCTTAGTCCGACTCTTATTGGTGGCCAAGTATATCACCACTTGTATTGGAATTGGAAGGTCCTAGATATGGACCTATCCTCAAGGAGTAGCATGTCGAGAGGACATGGCTCTCCACTCAAGTTCATGTGTGAACTTGTGTATGATGTGGTGGATGGAAAAGAGCCAGTAAGGGAATGACTTTGGGATCTTGGGAACAGTATAAGGGTTTCCTCAGAGAGCTAAGGATGTGATCCAAATGAACGTTTGACGCAGCAAACGGGCTAATGTAGTTGTGGCAAACAACTATAGTTGGGATCACGGGAATGATGCAGACTCCAAAATAATAAAGGAGTCACAAGATTACCCTTATATAATTGAAGCTAGTGCTTATAACTTTGAGACCGGAATTGATGACCATGGGAGGTCAAATACAAGAGAGGACACAAGTCCTTGAAATGGTAACCGGGGCTACCTCTAATAAATGTTAGAACAACCCAAGGAGTTAGGGGTGTACTTAGATGGGGAGTTGGTATTCTCATCACATGGACAAGTAGTCATAAGGGGCAAAAGTTGGTCCTAGAGAACAAAATCAAGTGTTAGAGTAACACTTGCAAAGATGGTCCTTATGAGTAAGACATGAATACATGAACTTGTATTCTTGTTAGCTGGCACCTCAAAAGTAGGACGTCATGGTTGTTTGATTAGCAAAGTCCAAAAAGCTAGATGACTCAAGTAGAGTCAAGGATTAATCCTAAGGGATTGATGGAAGCATTTGGACTGAAGTGTGTTGTACTCCACAAAGGATGGGGAGGATCTTAAGATCCAAGTATGAGAATAGTGGGTATCTCATTGATAGCAGAATGTGCCATGCTAAAGTTATGGGAAAGGTGTTCCCAAAAAAAAAAAAAAAAAAATTAGCAACTTTTGCATAGAGTTGTGTGTGAACACTATGGTGTAATGCTAACTGATAGTTAGCATGAAAAACGACTACTTTGGTCTTGGCAAAGACCTAGACACAAATAAGAAGTGTCATAAAGGTAAGCTTGTGGAACCGTTGGTGGGGAGACACCAAATGTGCTAAAGTGAGATACCTTGAGGTTATGTTGATAGGTTTATGGGAACCCCTTGCCAAGGGAATCGCATAGCCTAAGCTGGAAGGCATGTGGTTGGAGTGTAGTGACCCAGATAATGATGGAAGTATGGAAGCACCAAGCAATGAGTTGTAGAACTTGACAACTATAGGGCAATTAAGCAAAAGGTGCAAGATAATTGGTTAAACGGGTAGAAGGTAACTACCCAAGACTTCTTAATGGCATAAGGAAGTTAGATATACCCTTACGGGGGATAAATTGCTTATGCTGTGATATAGGAAGTCAATGTCGAAAAAGGAAATACTCATTGTCAAGGAGACCATCATTGGGACACCTAAACACTCTAGAACACCAGGAGGTGGTGTTTAGTGTTGTAAGGGCAATAGATAAGGCCCAAGGGACTAAATCCCTAGCGAATGATGGATAGGAGATGCCATCCAAACGTCCAAGGTTGTGGAAATGGGAAAAATTTGTCTACCCAATTTGGACAAAGCCAAAAATGGGATTTTGGCAAGGCTAGTGATGGGTATATCGAGGCCCATAAGTAGCAACGGTAATCCCGGTGTGTGGGATTATAAGGTGAGCCAAGGCATGGTAGAATATGCAAAGGTATCCTCCTGGTTTGGAGGAGAATAACCAAAGGAAACATATGAGGCCAAAATGCAAGTAGTATTGAGATGGAACTAAACCATAGAAATCGAAGGGCATAACTAATGGTGGTTATACAAGTTGGGAGTGGAGAATCAAGTGAGCGCTCGAGGATGTTGTTACTAGCAATTGTGATGCCATGAAAAGTCTAAAATGTGGAATTATCCATGTTAGACCATATGGTAAGTAGGGAGCTTGCAAAGGAGAAGCTTTAGCAAGTTAAGGAACAAAGTTCCTTGAAGGTTCCCAAAGACAATTCTAGGTAGATAAGTACCTAGAAAGCTAAGTGTAAATGGTTCCTAGAGCACGCGAAATCAGAGTGGTGTAGTAGAAGCGTGGTCTTGAAGTTGGCTATGAGACAAGGCTATCAAGGTTGGGGAATTATTTCCCAAGTGTTCAAAGAGAGGGCTTTGAACGAAAGTCGATGGTTAAAGACTTTCATGCTTATGCATGAACCATATTACAGTGGCTAGATGACTTGCTAAGTGAGATTGGCAAGTCAGGGGAACAAATCACCTAATTGAAGGTGCTATCTTCAAAAGGGGTGGCCCATGGGGCCGAGCATGGAGGAGTCCATGCATGATCACAAACTTATAAAATGAGAGGACTTGGCAGTTCGGAGGAACTAGGTTCCTAAGCTGTGATCTATAGCACGCTTTAAGTATAAGTTGGTGCACCGGCATGGGGAGTCACGCCAAGCATCCCAACGGTGCCAAACTCCCAAGTATGGAGCCAAGGAGTGATGGAACCGAACCACGGAGCAACTCCCGAGCATACAGCCCAAGGAGCGAAGGGACAGGGGCCCGGAGCGACTTGGAACAGTCCTAGAGGAACCAGCATCCCAATGCTAGGACCAGCACGCAAAACAAAGCCAAACGGAGTCTGACGCTATTTCGGCATACCGGTGGCCTAACGCGAGGACATGGGTACTCCACCAGCTAGCATGGAATGGAACTTGGGCTTAGACCCAAGCTGGACGCAGAACAAGGACAGGCACGCAAGCGGGAGCTAGACTATACTTCAAGTTGGTCAGCCATGCCCGACCTACCCACTATCCCTACTATACATTTGGAACCCCCCATAGCCCCCCCCCCCCCCCCCCCGCCCCCCTTGAGAAACACACGCTTTGGGCTTTCACCCCAAGCCTCCCTTAGTATCAGGAGTTAGTCTCAGGGACAAACTCGAAACTTACTAAATATGGAATGTCTTTAGATTGCGAATTTGGACACGGGACGAACACCATTGTGTTCAGGTCGATCTCTACATTCCGTAGATATGCCAAATGAGCAAATCTGGACACTTTCCATAAATAGCATTTGGGACCGAAATGAGACTAACACAAAGGGCATGATAGCGAGGGTGTTTGGCAAACACGGTAAGCTATCATCCAGCGATATTGAGGGACTAATCTCAATACGCGAGAGTTCTTGCCAAGCCAGTGCAAGACAGAGCAAAAGAGAACTAAGAGCCAGGCCGAGAATGCTCAGCTAGAAACACATAGGAGTTCCTACCTTATGTTCATCTGGCTAAGTACAGATGCTAAGCCCAGTAAGCTAACACTTGGACAAGAGGGGCTAATAAAGGAAACCAGCAATACCGACCTCCTGCCATCGCGGCAGTAAGGTAAGAGTGTCCATAAGGACTAGCCGATAGGTAACTTTCGATACCCGAAGTCACATTCGCGACACTCTCCCCCCCTTGGGAAAATCGACGTCCTCGTCGATGCACACTCGAGTCTAAAATACCGCCAAGGAAACAACTCCAGAAAAAGTTCACGGTACTCACACTATGTGAGAAATGCACCAACTTAAATGAGTTAGGAGGCAACCTCTTTGTCTAACGCGGATGCGCTACCAGCTCAGACACCTTCCGGCCGTCGCCGACAAGGAAATGACCAACATAGTTAGCCACCCTTGCTACTCTGGGAATCACCCAGCTTACAAAAGTGTGATATGCCCCTGCCTGCAGGAACATAGAGCAAGAAGCCAGAGGCCCCAACCCTCCTAAGCAAAAAAACCAAACCCGTCGGTAAGGTTTAGATAGACTACTGTAAACAGGCAGTTAGAGTTGTTTACACGGTCACACCTTTTTAACGGAATAAGGAACATCAACAAAGAGGCGGGTTATGTGACCAGTTGACAGTAGCTACCCCATGACTAGAGATTTCACCATACGCACGAAGTGCCGAAGCCAGTCTGCCTATACTGGCCCAAACTCATAAATGGACAATATCAAAGTCAGAGACAATAATATCTGAGAAGCTTAATTACTAGTGATTATAAATACAAAAGTATTCTAAGCAAGTTATCATCCAATAAACCAGTAGTATTGTAGATAGGAACCACCAAGATCATCATAATTTGGCAAACATAGGAATGACCATCCAACAAAATTCAATAGCTAGTATATTATCAAGGAAACTCAATGATGAAACTTAACTACCGAAGATAGTAGACAGTAACCCAACAACTTACTAGAGAGAACTCAAAGAACACAAAGTATCATTGACTAACAAGCACAATGCTCGCGAATGTATCACCCAAAGGAAATAACATCCAAATCTATCAAAACTAACTCGAGCAACAATCAATAGAAGAGAATGAATGTGGTAAGACCAACAAACACTCATGCCTGCCAACTATCACAAAAGCCAATCTGAATAGATCCCAGCCAACAATACCAAGGAACTCAAGTTGCCTAAGCAAGTGTCAGCAACATCCTACTGACGTCTCAAACCCAAAAGACCAATCCAGAACAAACCACAAAGAACATGTGGTATTGCAAAAAGCCAAAAGCCATCAAAGAGAACAACCAACTATCATGAAAGATCGTCAATTATCCCATCAATAAAGAGATGCAAAATCATCGTCTAAGAAGGAATCCACCATCCTGAAGAATAGCAAATCAATCTAAATCAACAATAATCAAGCAAAACCTTTGACAAGGATAATCAATTATCCCAGATGATAGTCAATCATCACTAATGATTGCTAGATGCAAATACTAACTTCAACATCGAAGCTAGGAGCCAAATGAAAAAGTGGTGCATGGTTTCCTAAAGAGCTCATAACCCTTAAACCAAAACTTTGATGTGAGAATATTTAAGTTTATGTATTCCATAACTCAAATGTAAAACTTTCACTAAGAGTCTTAACTCTTATTATGCAATCAAGTCCCTTATAGCATGTATGCCAAAAACATATAATTAATAATATTTATGTTTACCTATAGTTAATGGGTTGTATGTGACCAAGAGCACACTAGACACCACAAGCTTTCATAATTGAGAACTATAGTTAGCAAAATTAGCATTCTTCAATAAAGCAAAAGCCACAATCATTATATTGTCTTGATAGTCTTTGATTTAAAGACATATGACTCATCAAAATATGAACCAAGATTCAAATAATATGTGTTAATCTCAATTAATATAGGATTCTACAATAATAGTTTCAATAATTTGTTATGCCTTGCATCTAGTAATGTTTGGTTTGCTTAATAGTAATATTATTCCTATTGATCAATTGCTTAGTTTGCTTAATAGTAGTATTATTCCTATTGATCAATTGAATTGATCATGTTTATAATTTATAAACACAAGATTTATCATATTGAATATCAACTATTAGATGGTAGAATAAACTAGAATATACTAGAAAGTGTTTAAGAAACTTTATAAATTATAAATATAGGATTAATTTAAATAAATGATAACCTTAGATGGTAAAATATCCTAAAATATTTAAGTATATTCTAGATAAACAAAAAATCTAAAAGATAAAGCAAATAAATTGGTCTTGTCCTCCCATTTTCTTGCTGATGTATGTTTGATGATGTTCTTGCCATGATCTGTACCAATGAACGTGTCTTCATTTTATAGTTTGAAAAAAAAAAGTATCTATCAATCACAAGATCAGTCGGGAAGAAGAGCTCCTCATTGATCACGGCCTGATCCCACGCCTTCTCTCGCCAGCCTCGTCGCCACCCGGTCCAGGAGCTCGATCGAAGGCACCGTGGGCCGCAAGTAGAACAGCCCCGAGTTAAACACCCAGATCCTCATTGTGTGCGCGTACCGCGATCAGCCCATCTTTGGATCGTCGAACACGTCGTTGTATCCATAGGCGTTGGCGTTGGTGTGGCCGTCGGTCATGGCCTCCATGTCGCAGTCGCGCTGCAAGAACTTGAACGGGTTGTGGAGGTAGGGCAAGCCCAGCACGAGGAACTCTCGCAGGATGTGAAACTTTGTTCCTCCGAGGTGAAATCCTGCAAAACTTTTAGACCCGCTACTAAAACTGAACTTCAAACAGGATGTGGAGCTAGGAAATCTTCTTCTCAAACCAAATCCTTTGTTGCCACCCTCTGAAATCGGGGTGGAGTACACCCAAGAGAAGTATGGAAGTGTTCCTCGTTATTACATCAAAGGGATGCTACCCGTGGCAATGCAAGATTATCTCTTGGAAAACAATCCCCCCAACGGTGTTCTAGAGCTTGCATCTGATCACAGCCCCTTCTTTTCCACTCCAGATGAGCTTGTAAAGGCACTTGTAAACATCACAGCATCGTTAAAATGAAAACATTCTAGAGACAATCGCAAATGCAAGGAATTACCATCCATGAAAATCCTTGGAAGACTATGGACAGAGTCCAGTGCCTAGAACTCATTCAATCTTGCAAGAGCTTGGCTTTGGCTGAGGATCTGCATGCCAGTAACAGTGCCAAAACTGATGATGTTTTCCTGTGCAACAAGCTCATCGCAATGTACACGAGGTGTGGAAGCTCATTGCACGCCAAACGAGTTTTTGATAGCATGGTTTCCAGGGATGTCTACTCTTGGGATTTCATGATGAATGCTTACTCAAAGTATGGCAGCCTTGAGAATGCAAAGGGATTTTTTGATTCGATGCCTCAGAGAACTACTGTTTCTTGGGTTGCAATGTTAAGCTCATATGCCCGTGCTGGGCATCTAGAGGAAGCCGAAAATACCTTTGCAAGGATGCCAGATGCAAATACGGTGGCTTGCAACTGCATGATTGACGCGTACGTTCATCATGGATTTCTTGAAAAGGCTAAAATTTTGTTCGATGGAATGCCAAGGCAAACATTAGTTGCTTGGAACACTATGCTTGTTGCATATGCCCAAACAGGGCACCTTGTTCTTGCTAAGAGAATGTTTCACACGATGCCACTACGAGATTTAATCTCTTGGACGGCTATGTTCAACGCGTATGTGCAGAACGGAACTGTTGAAATTGCGAGAAGTTTTGTTGATCTCATGCCGGAATGGGATCTCGTATCGTGGACAGCAGTGCTCACTGCGTATGTGAAGAGAGGAAACTTTTCCTTAGCCAAGCAAACTTTTGATCAGATGCCGTTTAGAAACTTGGTGTCATGGACGTGCTTGCTGGACGCATTTTTACAGGTCAAAGAGTTACAAGCTGTTAAAGAAACGTTCAGAGCAATGCCGGAGCACGATCTTGTAGCTTGGAATGCAATGCTCTCTGCATGTGCCCATCTCGGAGATCTGCAAAACGCGGTGATCATCTTTGAAGCTATGCCCGAACGAACAATGGTTTCTTGGAATGCAATGCTTTCAGCGTATGTGCATGACGAGAAGTTCGAAGAAGCAAGAGTGATTTTTGATAGCGAGCCAAAACACGATCTGGTTTCATGGACAATTATACTGTGTGCTTATGCCCAAAACGGGCATCTGGATGAAGCAAAGAATATCTTTGAAATGATGCCACAAAAGACAATAGAGGCGGCAAATGCAATGCTGTCAGCTCTTTCACAAAATAAGTACCTGTCGGAATTTAGAGAACTGTTTGTAAAAATGCCACAGCATAGTACAATGTCGTGGAATGCTCTTTTGTCAGCAAATGCACTAAACGGGCACTTGGAGGAAACAAAAAGGGTTTTCGACATGATGCCTGAAAAGGATCGGATTTCCTGGAATACATTACTCTCAATAGAGGCCCAGAAAGGGATGATAAGTAGAGCCAAGGAAATCTTCCAGTACGAAATGCCAGAGTGGGATGTTGTGTCTAGCACTATAATGATCTCGAGTTTCTCCAAAAGCGGCAAGTTTGAAGAGGCTAAGCAGCTTTTCGACACAATGCCATTTCAAGATTCAGTCTCTTCAACAGTCATGGTTCTCAACTTTGGCCAACATGGACAAGTGGAAGATGCTAAGGGCTTGTTTGAAAGAATCTCTCCGAAAGACAGAGATGTTGTGTGCTGGAATGTGATGTTTGCAACTTATGCCCAAAATGGATATCTACTGGAAGCGAGGGAAGTGTTCAACGACATGCCACGGAAGGACACAGCCTCCTGGACTGCAATGTTGTCTCTCTATGCTCAAACCGGCCACCTCTTGCATTGTAGAAAGCTCTTGCTTGAGATGCCCGAGAGGTGCTTGGTCGCTTGGAGCTCGTTGCTAGCCAGCTGTGTTTGTAGTGGTAACTTTAGTGAAGCATTGGATGCATTTTACAATTTGAGAGACGATTGCTTTCTTCCGGATGAGATTTGCTTCATGTCTGCCCTTGCGGCATGCAGCCAAGTAGGCAAGGTTTATGTTGGTAGATGCTTGTTTGTGTCTATGAGCGTTGACTATGGGCTGCAAGCATTGAAACAGCACTACAGTTGCATGATTGATCTCTTGAGCCGTGCAGGGCATTTGCGTGAGGCTGGCGAGTTGACATCATGCATGCCATTTGTTCCAGAAGTTTTGGAGTGGTGTTGTTTGCTTAATGGGTGTAAAATCTACGGCAACCTTGAGTTGGGAGCCTTTGCTGCTAAGCATGTCACAGAGCTGGACCCAAAGGTCAACATGGCATACATTCTCACGGCCAATGCTTTTTCAGTCCCAGTTTGATATTATGGCATGATCCACCATGGATCTAAATTGGAGATTGACCAGACGGTGGTAAGGGCAATCTGGAGGGAGTCAATATCCACGTCTGAGAGCAAGATGAAAAACTAGCATCCGTAAGAAATTTAAAAACTCCTATTTAAAACTGGACTGTCTTCCAACCCTTAACTTTGAACATTGGTGACATGGCGTGGCTGTCGCTGGTCCTGGCCCCATACGCCAGGACATCATGATCTTTCGCTATGACGAACTACCCAGAGTGCTTGAAGTTACGTTTCTGTTTGCTTGCAGATCACAATCGTACGAGAAGCGTGGGGCTGACGGACTTATCCAGGACTGGCGCTGGCCACTGCCGAATTTGCCTCCATGAGCTGCTTGCACGGATTTCTTCTAGTTGGACAGATCGAGTGCGCTCTTGTCGAGCCCCCTTATTTCAGCTCACAATCGGTTTGCAAAAGTTTTTTCATAGCAGTGTCGCTACTCTGGATCAACATGATCTGAGATATTTACTCACTAACAGTGTAAGCAAGTAACGTTTCTCCGTTTTCTTCTGAATTTTAGGCAGATCTCACGGTTACATAAGTTTCTATGTGCTGGTGGTGCAGGTGCTTCATTTGGAGAACGAAAAACTTTCGCTTATGAGGTGCTCAAGAGCGTGGAATGAATAAGACGGTCCACTTGCACATGGGACTTAACTTAGTTGAAAGGACCGCCCCACACATCGTCTGTGTCCCATAGTCCAATATAACCTTCTTCTACAGATAATCCGGTTGTTATTATGCAATCAGATTGATCTTTGCAAAGGCGCTTTCCTATATCGATTAAAATTAAGTCACCAATCTTTATGGCTGCATGAGGATTTATAGTCAACGGGCATGGAGGATCTGTATCAATGGGACTTACATAGAGCATTTCTTTCGTATCTAAGTCATTCAGAATAAATTTGCAATTGACTTGTAAATGAGCTTTATAACGTCGGCTCTTAGATTGAAAGGTATATGGTTCGAGAACAAAGGAACCCAAAGATTCAAAGCCACTAATCATACTCATCTCAAAAGGCCAGCAGTCTTCTAACTGTGAATACCAATCATGAATTATAAAAGTGCTCCTGTTAAGACTTCGAGGTTGAATTGAAAAAGTATAAAGAGGAAGGGCTGCTGAAACATTCCAGTGGTTACTATTAGCATTCAATTCATCATGATCTTTCTTGATAGGCCATGAAATATAATCAATTCCCAAAAGTTTTGAAATAACTAACAATGTTCCATAGCCATTCACTCGAGACTCCAAAAATATAGTTTTGAAGATTTTCATATACTCATCTTTCATGAAATTGGAAGGCAAGGCCATAGATGGGTCTGGAGATACTGAACAAGTGACAGAGATCATTGAGGGAGCAATACTAAAGAACCAAAGCCTTATAGAAACTTTATACTTATTAGAAACTGTAGGATTGTATGTAAAGCTACGCCCTGTAGAATAGAATGAATTCCTTTTAAGGGACCTGATGACATAGGAAATAGCACTTGTAATCTTTCTTGTTTCTGGTATGGAGAATCGCCCTGGATGTCTAGCATACCTTATTGTCATGCTAGAAACATATATGAACATTCCTATGAATATAGTAATAGTTAGGACATATACTAAACTCTTCATAATCAAGATTAAATAAAATTTACTTCTAGCACTCTCTTTATATACAGCCATAGTTCTTATTATGACCTTCCACGTGGTAGATATATAATGTTTTTGTACTCATTCATGTAGGGAAATAATTTAAGTTTAAAATAATATGATTTTCTTTATGCCAAAATCCTTGCATGCTCAAACAATAGTTATCTAGTAGTAACTAATATTTTATTGAGGTAAAACAAGTGTTTGGAGGGGATTTCACTTGAAGGACAAGAGTGGTGGCTAAGGTTTCATTATAGTGCTATAAGGAGTTTGTAGAGCATGATTTGGGATTGCCTACTTGCTAGAGGACTTGGAAACAAGTCTTTAGTACTTGGTTTTGTCAATAGGAAATAATTAAACCCAAATTGATAAAGCCAAGTGCTAATGAATTCATCATGATCAAGGCACTTGGAGCAATACCACTTACATGTATAGGATGTTTCGAGGGCCACAACTCATGTTAAAGGCTACATTAGGCTAATTTGTTAGATTATGTAACTTCAACCTGAATCCAAGAGGAGCAACTTGCCTTTGGTCATGATTCCATATAGATAGCACTAAAGGTATGGCTATACTAGTATAAGGCTGTAGGATTGGCAGAGTGGCACCACATTTGCATAGCCTGATGGGAGGTTGGAAACAACAATCCCAATTGGAACTTGCACAGTCTGATGGGAGGCTAAAAATAGCAATCTCAATTGGAGGGGATCGGTCGCACAACAGTAAGGAGAGGACTTTCAGGCAGCAACAACGTCATTATTACTAGAGGTTATACATTCTTAAGTTCACCACACCATGGGATTCAGAACTGTACATCTTTAGGGGCTTTTTATATCTTTAGGAAATTATAGGTGCTATATAAATAGAGATTAAGCAAGGGTGCTGTACCTCCATTGATTTCACAATTGATTCAAGTCCACTAAGAATTAAGAGTATGTGTTTGTGAAGTAAATGGCATAGATCTAGGTTGCATAGAACTGAACTTTAGTTCCATTGCATAAAATAGGACTCTAGTTCTATTGATCCCTCCTTTGTCACCACCCCTCTATACTCTTTCCCAGTTTTAAATATGTCAAAACTAGACTTTATAGTTTTTTAGAGGATAAATATGAAAAACAACCTCTAAAGAACTATAAAGTTTGGTTTCAACATAAACAATCAAAAGGAATGACTCAAGTGACGATCTATAAGGGAAAGGGCCCATGAATAAAAGTGCACCCTCTTTTCTAATTGATTAATAATTTTGGGATACTTGAGATTAAGCATCCTTGGGTTTGAATAATATTGGGTTAGGTGACTTCTTGAGAATTCTAAATTTAAGAGTTTACATTTGGTATTAGAAAGGTCTCAAATCCGATTTTATTGATTGGTTAAGGGAATCACACCATATGTTAAGATTGACATTTGGTAAGTCTAGTTTACCACTAGTTGGGCTCGACTTAAGGGGTAGAGTATCAGTTTTCATTCACGAGGGTGTAAACTTGCAGAGAAGTGTGGTGGATTGTAAGCAACTGAAAGGAAGAGACATCAACATGTTAAATTAGGATGCGATGATCAAGTGCGACCAAGCTGAGGGATTCTTATTATCAAGCATCCTAACAGAATAGGCTTTCTAAATCTTTGCAAGAGTACATCCCTTGAGGATATCAAAAAGCTCCTAATGAAGATGTGTAATGTGTGTATATGTTCGATTAAGTTGATTGAAGTAGGGGTTCTCGTTATGTCTCAATTTCTAGGCATCTAGATGTTTGGTCTTCCCTTTGTAGGAAGCTGCTTCATAGCGCTGATTCATAGGTTACAGCCGTACTACTTTGACAGGTCCATTTAAGAATTGTTATTGAGCCCTCCCAAACTTCTTGTGTAGTTGAGCATTTCCATAGAATATGGTGCTATATCTCTTTTGCTATGTAAAACTACATGTTGTATTCGGGAAGTGTATTATCGCAAGTGAGGGGAGGCATTTCTACTAAGCAAGCCACATAAAGTATTGGGTTTTGACATTCCAAATCTTGTTTACGCATTGTAGATGGTTTTGGGATGGGATTTATTGTGCTTTCACTTTTTTGATAAATGTGGTTTGTACTAGTGGGCATATGACTTTTCAGCCAAGTTTGGTCTTGTACTAAAAGAATCTATTACATGTGTCCTTCCATTCCCATTTTGCTAAATCCCATTTTAGTTCTTCCATTGTTTGGTCGCAGAACCCCAATAGAGTTCAACACTTAGTTTTGTCAACCAGGTTTTACTTATTTAGTTTCTATAAAACCATAGAGTCCAATTTTGACATGCTCAAAATTGGAAAAGAGCAAATGCGGGGGGGGCCAAAGTCGAACTAAAGCTCTAAGTCTGTGTCCGTTGGGGTCCATTTGGTTGAAGTCCCTAATGGGGAGTTCGAGGGACTCGTGGAGGTACACATTCTATTGCTTCTGGACAAGTGATGCCAACACTTAGTTTTGTGGAAAACTATGCTCGCTATTAGCTTTGGATTGATTTTGTGGGACTTTGAGGGATTGATTTTTGGATTTAGTGGTAGGGATTGCTACCATAATTGGGGCTAGTGGTGGATAAAGGTAATTTAGTGTTATATGTATAGGGGATCCATACATTTTTTCTCCAGTGCTTACTTTTGAGCTTTTGTTCTTGAGGAGGTTTGTGGTATTTCTCTAGTTTCTATAGGACTTTTTTAAAGATGAGCTAATGCACTTGTTTCATGTGGGAAGTAAGATAACATGCTTCAACCTTAAGTTGGAGGACATTCACACCTCATATGGAGTTATGAGTTGGAGTTCAATCGTGATTGAACACTATTTTAGCATCGGAAGCACATTGGTGTTGGAGTGCCCTATAGCAAGTCTCATGTGTCACAAAGCATAATACGTGACTTTAAATTTTGCATTAGAGTCATCTAGGAAATGAATAGCCCAAGAGCAGCATTATGTGTTTGTACTCATAATTTTGCTAATTTCTTATTGTGAGAGTGCACTCTTGATGTTGTTTTAGTCCCTATGGGATATGGGGTAATGTACATATACGTTCATTGATTTGGGCACTCAAGATTACAAGGGAGGTTGCATAGTTAATAGTTAGGTTCGTACTTTAAAATTTACTATATTCTTTTTATGAGTGTTTAGAACTTATGTCTATGAAATAGGATTGTATATATGTTTAAATGGAGTAGTAGTATTGGCCAAAGCATTCTGTATAGATACCTATAGTCAGATAAAACTATAAGGCTTAATCATCAAATAGGAAATTTCATTTTACAATAGTGCATCTTCAAAGTTTGACAAGTTCTAGATACTCATACTACCAATTGAGGAAAATAAATGACCCCAATATTAAGTGTGAATGGAATGTAGATCCTTTGTTGGGTGTAAAACATAAATCCTTAAGCCCCAAAGTGGAGACAAAAGTGTGCCAAATAGCAATGGTTAAAACAAAAGTTCAATAAGTGTAATATATTTAAATTAAAAGCTCTAACTTGAAAAGTTGAGAATGGGGGTGGAACTCTAAAAGAAATGCTTTAGGAATGAGTACGAAGTAATTGATAAGTGAGTTTCTAGAAAGGAATATAAAAAGGACTGACACATGGCAAGTGTCATGACATATAGAAGTGTTGTGATCAAGTCTCAAACTGAATCCAAGATTGAGTCTGAGAATGAATCTAAAATCAGGTACGAGATGGAGGTTGAGGCCGAATCCGAGATGGAGTCTGAGACCAGGTATGAAATGGAGACTGAAATCGAGACCAAGACTAAAATCGAGACCAAGACTGAGACCAAGACCAAGGCCAAGACCAAGACTGAAATCAAGATTGACTTTTGTAGCGCATGTGATCATGGGATGAGATTTAGATATACTGTCACCGTGGATCCTTGGAATCTTGGGGGATAAATGGGGATAAAATAGCCACTAAGGGCTCTCTCATCAAGCAATTGCCCCTTTTCCAGTTGGCTTAAGGGGAGAGAGATAAGGTGCGCTACAACTTTGAGTTCAAGTCCAAGTCCGAGACCAAAACTAAAATTGAGACTAAGACTAAAACCGAGTTTGAGTCTAATACCAAGATCGAGTTCAAGTCCAAAACCGAGTCTATGTCTAAGTCTGAGTCTAAAGATGAAAGCCCAAAGTGATTTTCTCACAAGCCCTAGGGGGTTTGGTAAGTTTTTATGGGATAATAGAGGGAAGACTTTGGTGGAATTAATTTAGCCAAGAAAGGTTAGTGTGACCTAGGAAGGCTACACCACGTAGTGAGTTGGTTGCATTCTTCAGCTACATAATACCACCATTGGGTTAGGGCTCAAAGGCCAAACCAATAAGTTCTATTAACTTTTGGGACTTCTTTATCACATGAATATACCTTTGGTCACTATGTAAGAAAACCATTCTTATTTTTTTTCCATGGTTTGGGATTTTAGAACAAACATTTCAAAACACTATAGCTAAACACAAGTCTTATAAGTACTCCCCCCACCTTTCACCCTAGCTATGTGGCCAAAATGAAGTTTTGATAAGCTATACAAAGTATCTAAGTAAGTAGTGCTATCTATACCCATTTGAATTAGGAGTATTGTCTATTCAATCTCCCAAGGGAACTAGAGCTAGCTCTTGAATATTTCACCAAGTCATCCCACTTGTCCATTCATGTTCACTTTAACTTTAGACTCCTCAATGGTTAAATGTTTTGCTCACCAAGTTTGTTCATATAATCTAATCCATCAAGCACTACCATGAATAAATAAGGACTTTATGGGATTAAAAGAAGGATATTATGAGGATGGTGTTCCTTATATCTTGGGGCATTTTAAAGATACTAAAATGTGGTCACGGGATGACCACAGATGGCCCAATCTTTGGGAAGATAGGACCATAGTACAAGTAGTCTTGGATTACTAATAAGATGATAAGAATGAATATAACCTTTGCATTAATGGTACTTTTGGGTGTCTAAAGTGGGATCAAACATGTAAAACACTTAGACTATGTGTAAAGTCAGTATGATTTGGAAATCATATCTAGAGGATAATAAATACCTTATGGCAAATGAAAACTTATGGAGGTTGTGAGTGAGATTTTTCTAAGGGGTTAAAAACTTGGTTAAATGACTAAAGTAAAATGGAAATTTAATCACTTACATTAGATTATATTTTGGTAGTTGTTCTATGGCCCTATATGGGTAAGATCAATATGTTCCATTGAACAGAGGCTTGCCTGACACTTTTACAAAACTTAGAGGGCTAACAACACTTGGTAAATTCAATCATCTTACATCCTTATAAATGCATATTAGATTTAGATGAGTATTTTTACATCTAGTGTTAGATCTGTCCCATCTATTGCTTAAGTTCTAGAAAAATAGTCTCTCTCTATGGTGAGGTTTCTTCCATAGTTAAGGCAAAGTATAAAAGAGTTTCAAAACTTTAATAGCTTGGTTGGGAGTTTATCATAAGGGTCCTTTCACACCTATCTTTCCTCTTTTAGGATTCCATGTTTTATGCTTCTTTTGCATTTCCTTGCATCAAATCTTTCCTTCACAAGAAGGTTGATTTGGCATTGCTACATGCTTGGAACATAAATTCACGTGCCAATTTTATCCAACAATAGATGCATTCTCAGGATTTGACTGATCCAAGCCCATAACTAACCACACTGCTACTTAGCACCCCTTACTAGACCCAAAAAGCAGATGTAGTTGAGTTTGACTTATCCAGCCTTGGACCAACCATCTTGGGGTTGATACCATTGACCATACCAACTCTAGCATGGTGCAACCATATGTCCAAGCTTACATTTGTAGCTCTTAACCTCATTGATGTTGTATGGTTGCACCATCTTGTTGTACAACTGTTTTTCTCATGGCAATTATCATCTAGAGGCAAGACTCAAAGTGGCAACAAATGCTTAAGTCGCCTGGCTACTCTCTTTTACAAAAGTTTATTCCACTAAGATCATAAGGTTTTCTTTTGGAATTTGTTTGAGATTGTGAACTTGTGGAGAAGGGCTGTAATTTGTCCCTTTTTATGTTGATAGCCTTCACCATGACTTAGTTTAGAAAGTTCAGAGAAGCAAATAGAGATAAGGGCTGCAACAGATTGAAGTAAGACAAGAAGTTTATGTTGGAAGTTAGTGTTGGATCCAACCATCTTGCTCAATCTAGTCTCCATATCAAACAGTTTCATCTCTCTGGTCTTGAGATATCTAGACCAATGCAACTTATTGCAAGAGCTTTAGGTTAATCTTTGCCTTCCCTCAGATGAACATTGGTGGAGGTGATGAAAGAGATATTTGGAGATGATGAGCCATTTGTGGACCCACATAAACAGATAGACCTTAAAAGTTTCCTTATCTCTCATTTATTTATTCCATGTTAGAGGACCACCACATCTAGAACTAAGTGCTTGCCTTTGGATATACTCATAAAAAATATGAAACTTATGCTAGTTTTCTGAGCCAAAGTATGATCTAACTATAAGCAGAAATAATTTCTTATTTTAAAGAGGTTAAACATTTACCATGAATTCTTACTTCCATCAGTATTATGAAAAATAAGAAAATGAAGTGGTGCATGAAGGAGCTCACCACCCTCAGACCAAAACTTTGATGTGAGAATGTTTGAGTTATGTATTCCATAACCCAAATATAGAACTTTCACAGCTCTTATAATGCAATCAAGTCCCTTATAGCATGTATGCCACAAAATATAATTAACAATATTCTAGGAGTTGAGAAATAGTTAGCATAATTAGCATTCTTCATTTAAGCAAAAGTCACAATCTTTGATTTAAAGACATCAAAATATGAACCAAAGATTTTAATGGTCTCAATTAATATAGGATTCTACAATAATAGTTTAAAAAATCTCCATATACTCACTATCTTATGATTGTAAAAGATAAAGCAAATAAATTGTTCCGGGCATGAACGTCAAAACTATTTGTCCTCCCATTCTCCTGCCGATGTGATGTTCTTACCATGATCTGTTCTTACCGATGAATCAAAAACAGTGTCTTCATTTTATAATTTGAAAAAAAAAGAGTATCTATCAATCACAAGATCAGTCGGATCCAACCAGGCCAGTATCACTCTGAGCCAACCGGGAACTTGGCCAGGGCATCCTTTTTCCCCTTGACATAGTAATCAACAATGGCCAGCATCCGGTTGTATTTATCCGGATGATAGTTGACGTGAATGGTAACCGGCCGGAAGTTGGCATACTGCGATGGATCTCCACGAATGTCCGTGAAGAGTAGCTTGCTGTTCATGAAGAGGAACCTGTCCATGACGCGCTTGGAAGCGTGCAAGCCATTGTATCCCGGCCGAGACGGGAAGAAGAGCTCCTCGTTGATCACGGCCTGATCCCACGCCTTCTCTCTCGCCAGCCTCGTCGCCACCCGGTCCAGGAGCTCGATCGATGGCACCGTGGGCCGCAAGTAGAACAGCCCCGAGTTAAACACCCAGATCCTCATTGTGTGCGCGTAGCGCGACCAGCCCATTTTTGGATCGTCGAACACGTCGTTGTATCCATAGGCGGTGGCGTTGGTGTGGCCGTCGGTCATGGCCTCGACGTCGCAGTCGCGCTGCAAGAACTTGAACGGGTTCTGGAGGTAGACGATGTCCACGTCCGAGAGCAAGACGCTGTATCCCAGCACGAGGAACTCTCGCAGGATGTGAAACTTTGTTCCGGAGATGGCGTGGTTGTCCCCAGTCCCGGCCAAGCTCTTGGGTATGGTGGCGTCCTTCCTGTACGCCGGGACGTCGTGATCCTTGCAAAACTTGGCAGTCTCGTCGTCCAGCGCGACGACGAGGTAGTTCGTGATCCCGGACTGCTTGATACTCTCAAACCATACCTGGAGCATTGGAGCTACGTTCTTGTTGGAGACGCCAACGATGAGCTCGCGGTTGATGGCGATCTTCTCGAGCAGCTGGGCTAGCTCCGGGTTGACGGACTTATCCGGGATGATCTCTGGATGGGTCGTGGTGCCGGCCACTGTGCCGAATTTGCCTGCTTTGACTCGGCTCCGCGAGGCCATGAGCTGCTGCTGCGCGGACTTCTTCTCCTGGTTGGACAGATCGAGCGCGCTCTTAATCTCGCTGTTCTCGCCCCGCAGCGTGGTCACTTGGAGCTCCAGCATTCGGATCTTCTTCTCCAGCTCGCTCACCAGCGGATCGCCGCCCTGTGGAGCGATTGGAGTGTCTCGTTTCTCTCTGGAACTCGAATTTTCCGGCCGCTTACCTCGGAGGCGCTCATGAATGCGTGAGGATGCAAGTACGCCCACAGCGCTCCCACCATGATTCCTGCCAGGATCGCCAGCCCGAGCTTGGAGCGGTCATTGGAAGACGGAGAGGAGGAGCGGAAGAGGCCGCCCTCCTTCTTCCCCAGCACCATTCTCAGATCGAGATCGCCCGAGCTACACAAACCCTATTGACCACATTCTACCTACATTTAAGCTAACAAAAAGGATATACTATGAATCTATGATGCTGGGCGATGGAATAAAACTTTGCGGTTCAACGCCTCTAATCCACCTCCTCTCACCTTCTGAATTCCACGCCTTCTGAATTCTGACTCCAGTTGTCGATAAATCCAAACCTTTTGGCATTCCCCCTTTTAGTGTGCTTAAATCAATTTCCTCAGTTAGAAGCCCATAAAAAAGAGGTATAAATGTATTTATACCTCTCACCTCACCTCATTTAAGATTTCAACCCAACTTTGCTTTATTAGAAGGTTGAAACTTGAACCCAACCTTTGTAGAGTATGAAAAAAAATATGTCGAAACAAATGTTCAAAATTTGCAAGTAATTTTTACCTTTGCTTCTACACTTTTGAAAGTCTCCTGAAGCGCTTCAGGAAAATCTTCGTCTGTTACAAAGAAGTCTTGAGGAAAACTTGCTGTGAGCCAAAACATCTCCAACTCCTTGCGAATCAAAATTCTGAAGAAAACACGGGTAACTTACCATCCTTCCGGAACAGATTGATATCGAGCCTTGCAGCTGGAGAGAAGAAGATAGCAAGCTGAGAAAGAACCAAAAATGTCTGAGAGTACTTCAGTCGCAAAACACTTGTTACATTGGTGTTGAAAAGGCGAGAACTTCATCTCTTTCGAGCCCAGCTGCCGGGAGGCTGGAGTTTTTGAAGGCCATGCCCGTCTTCAAAGGGTGTACGTAGAGCATTGTCGTTTGATTTGGAGCTCAATCAAGCTGCCATCTGATAGATGTTAATTATGCTAATTAGCCCTTTAGATTACTTTGAAAGAGTTTGCAATTTGGATGAATTCTTCTCTCTGGTGTGACCACTGAGCCTGGGGAGTCTGCACATTCAAAGAGAAGAGCTTGCCTTTGAGAGAAGTGTAGACAGCCACATTGTGTCTAAAGAATGTGGGAGCTTCCACACAGTACTCCAGTGTGTAGTAGACTGCCTTTTCATCTCTTCTAGTCAAGGCATCCACCAGAGTTGCCGTTTTCTTCGATCCTGGTGGAGCTATGAACTTGTCCAGGATGAGTTTAGCAGCTTCTTTGGCATCTCCTAGCTGCTCCAAACTGCAAAGACGTTTTTTCTCTATCAAACCAAGAGATGGAAACTTTCCTTACCTGAAAGAAGGGAGGATTGGAGCTACGATCACGCTCACGTTAACTTCGCCATCTGTTCCAGGAGGTCCGAAAGCAGTGACAGGCTCCACTAGAACTTTCGCTGGCGATCTTTGCTCTTTGAGTGCCGGCAAGTCCAGAGGCCTTTCTTTCTCGGCCTTCTCAATGGACCTATACAAGATCTTTTGATCGCCAAACCAGTCTTGAGGATAGATAAACTCTGCAATCGAAGAAAAATGAAAGCTGGTTGTTTAGCTTTGGAGAAAATCGTTCACTTCTTAAAGATGAAACTTAGCTAGTGCTTACCGAAACCTTTGTCTGTGTCTAAGCATCTGAAGAAGCCCCGGACAGGATACAGGACGTCCAGCCTCAAGCTTCTTGCGACTTCCGGGTTTAATCCAAGCACGAAGCTCGTAGTTCCCAAAAAGTTTGCTCCAATTCCCAGTCCTGCTGCCGAAAGAATTCCAATTGTAAATCTTCTGCTGAACCTGGGAGCAAGAGCTGCTTGAGCCGCTTCGAGATCTTGTTGCAAAACTCGTCCCTCTGCGTCTTCCAAGTTTGCTCTCGTGAGAAAAATTCTGCGGCCATTGTACTTTGTCTTCGTTCCCTGGCCACAAGGAAAAGGATAAGAAAGTGGTGTAGAAATAGAAGCCATGTACCTAGGTAATGGAACAGATTATAAACTCTCAACCTTGGGAGTTTGATTTTGCAAGAGCTTCTTAACAAGCCTATTGGAGACCATATACCACCAATCCTCCAACTGCGAGAGCACCAGCCAAGACTCCCAGTATCACGGAGATTGGCAGAGCACCGCCTCCGACTGCTCGTCCGGTTTCCGGATCATATTTGGAGAACCTCTTCTTTGGTGCTCGGCATTGAGGGCATAAGAAACCATCCGGCTGAAGAAAAAAGATGAGCACCATCTACAAAACACTGAACTTTTCATACCTGTTCTTCAAAAGGTTTGGAGAGTGTGTAGACGTATCCACAGTCGAGACAAATGTGAGTAGCTCTTGCCTGGAAAACATATAGAATAGAACAGCTTCGTCCTTAGAGAAAAGCTCTTACCTTTTGCGCTTCGGTGAGTTTTCGACCAAATCGAGGTGGCGCTGGCCGCTTAGGTAGTCGCTTTACATCTACATCCGCTCCTCTGGAAGAAGAAGAAAAGGGCAAACTTCAGAGTTTGAGAACAAGGAATCGATCGTGAAGTACCTGCTAACAACAAAATAAACAGACTCTGGCTTCGCTTGGATGGCTGTCTTTGTGAAGCCAAGTTTATCAGCCGGCCACAATTCATCGCCAAAGAAGCTACTCGTATAGAGCACCTGATCCCCGACTTTCAATCCAGCTCTGGCTGCATTTCCTTCCACTGCCTGTTTCGCACGATTACAGTACAATGTTTTGCGAAAGAACCAGGAAGAAAAGAAGAAGAACGTATGGAGCTCTTACTGTTATGATCACGCCACCACCAGGCTTTTGCCCAAGCGAAAGTCCGAGAGGCTTATCGACCTCTACCTCTATCGTTTTTCCAGCAGCTGTTTTAGCCTCCACCTGAGAATACAATAATGTGATACTAAAACTTGGAAAATCTTTGAGTGAGCTACCTGGAGAGGGTTGTAAGTTTTCCTCGTCGAATTGATAGTCCCGGGATGCGAGACTTTTAGACGCGCGTCGCAATTACAAAGTTGCGATCCCAGGAACGAGTTGCGCAGCTAAAATAACAAAGGATCAATCCCTAGTCTAGGACGCGCTCTCGACTCTCGATTGCCAATGTACCTGGTGATTCGATGCTCCCGGCGTCAAGGATCGCGATCTTGGCGCGGCCGCAGCGAGGGAGACTGCCGCTCCTGCGGTGGCGGCCGTCGCCATTGCCCTCCCCGCCAAGAGCTCGCTCTCCATATGCCCTTGAGGGAGACCCTACGTGGCACTGTGCCCGGCACACGCTCGGAAGGGATAAGGAATCGAACACGCGATCGCCCTCTTAGCGCGCGAAACTTTTAAAATTTTGAATTTGAAATTTTGAAATTCAAAATTTTGGAAATAGGTGTGTTTACATTGACGAGAGATACTTTTCGAGCTTCTCCACCTCTTCCCTGCTTCCTATGTACAAAGGAACTCTTTGGTGAACCTACAAGAAAAAAAGGAGAAGATTAGAACATTTTGCGCGATCAATCAATCGAAAGAATTGGATCGATCGAACCTGTTCTGGTTTGATGTCCAGAATTCTTCCGGATCCATCCGACCCTTTGCCGCCGGCTTGCTCCACCAAGAAGCTCATGGGAGCGCACTCGTAGAGGAGCCTCAATTTCCCATTCTTGCTCTTCTTGTCGCGGGGGTAGCCATAGATCCCGCCGTAGAGCATCGTCCTGTGGAAATCGCCCACCAAGCTCCCAATGTAGCGCGCCGAGTAAGGCTTCCCGGCCGGCCCTGGATCCTTCAAGCTGTTGATGTAGCTCTGGAGATTTGGCTCCCACAGCGCGTAGTTGCCCTCGTTGAAAGCGTAGATCTTTCCCTTGTCCGGGATCTTGATCTTGTCGTGGGTGAGCACGAATTCGCCCACCATCGGGTCCAGCGTGAAGCCATACACGCCGGTTCCAACCGTGAGAACGAAGATCACGGAGCTCGAGTACATGCAGTAGCCAGATGATAGCAAGTTCTTCCCCGGTTGGCACACATTCATCACGCAATTCTGCTCGCTTGGAGTGAGCTGCGATCATCATCAAAAGTTTCCAGAGATGAATTGGAGCGAAGGATTCCCAAGAACTTACCGAGTCGGAGTCCGAGTCGAAATCCGCCAGGCATTCTTCGCTTGGGTGATAGATTCCAAAGATTGAGCCCGTGGAGACAGCGGCGTCGATGTTGGATGATCCATCCAGGGGATCAAACACCACAATGTAGTTGCCAGAGTAGCTCTCCTCCACGGCCACAGGCGTATCCTCTTCCTCAGACGCGATGATACCCGTCCTACCGCTGGAGCGCAGGCAATTCGAGAAAACCTAGCACCAAGAAACGATATTTCGGACGAAATGTGGGAGGATCGATCGAGAAAGAGAGGAGATTTTCCACTGACTCACCTCGTTGGACACCACATCGAGCTTCTTTTGATCCTCGCCCTGGACATTGACGGCGCCCTGGACGCCGGTGAGATTGGAGATCCCGGCGCGCTGGACTAGGGCCGCGATTTGCTTGCAGGCCACGGCGATGCTCGACAGCACGATCGTGAGCTCGCCATCGATAATCCCTGCCTGTTCTTGCTTGAGCAGCCAATTCGTGAGCGTGTTGAGCTGATACTGATTCCTACTGCCGCTCTTCTTCTTGTCTGTGGTCGATTCGACGCTCACGGCCGCTCTAATCCCTAGATTCCTGCAATGCTGCTGCTGGAAACCCCGATTACTGCCGATGGCGAGACCCCTGCTGGCGGTGGAGAGGGAGGAGGAGCATCGATTCTTGCCGGGCGCATTGATGATCTTGGTGGAGCGATTGGCGAAGCACTGCGTCGCGGAGGATGCCGCCATTGCCCAAAATTACTGCTTGCTTCTCACTTCATCTAAAGTGTGTGGGAAATTATTGGGTGGGGTGTCTGTGGCTGCCCTTGGTGTTCATCCTTGGCTCCAACGGATCTCAGCCACGTGGACGGCCGGCAACGCCCTCTATCGTACAGTAGCGCCGCCATGTCCCGCGTGGCCATTTCGTACGGGAGACGACCTGGGACGCCATAGCCAGAGCTTCGTCTCGTCTGCTTTAGGGAAGAGGAAAGAACGCACCGTGTAGCGGCTGGAGCTCGTACGAATTGCCGGACGACAGCACGGTGAGACGATCCCCCTCCCTCTCTCTCGATCGATGTGATTCATATTCCGAATCTCTTCCAGCGTCGGCATTGCCGCGGATTTCCCCAGGACAGGACGCCAATCCCAGCGATTAGGGTTTCGATCGTGGCGATCCGAGGCTTTCCCGACGGTAATTTCGTTACATGTGCCCTGGCAGCCTCGGATCTATCAGCGCTCGGAGCGTAGATGCCAGGATTGTGATCGGCTACTGCTCGCCAGTCCTCTCCAATGGTTCCAGGGATAGATTTTCTCGGGGTGACTCTCAAAGCGGCGCTCCTTCCGGCAGTGGAATTTGGCTTCTGTGGGGCAAGGGAAGGGGCGTGCACTGTGAGCACTGGGTGGGGATGAGACAGAGCTAACAAGAACACACAGGGAAGAACAAGAAGGAAGAACAAGGAAGGAAAACAAGGAAGAAGAAGAAAAAAAAAAGAAGATCCAACCAGGAACGCTGGAAGAATTTGGGGATGAGCCCCTGATACTGGGTTGCTTGGACGTGGCTGACAAATCCAGGGACGAGGAAGAGAGCAGCATTCACGAGCAAGGGAGGTACTTGCAGCTGGGAAGCATGGTGACGGGGAGCTTGACAGAGCCGCTACTATCATCCTTCGCCACCGATGTTCCATCCACGATCCTCTCCATGGACGCTGGCGTTCACGACGATTGCAGCCGCCAGCTCCAGATGCAAATGGTGGTGGAACCTCCGGACATCAACTTGCCATTCTCCGACGAGATCCCATCCAACCAGTGGCTGCCATCCAAGGAGCTCGAGTCTCTCGACGTTGGTTTGGCTCCTCCTCTCGGGGAGGATCCCAGCAGCTCGCCGCTATCCAAAGGACGACGCTGGCTTCGTCGCAGTGACACCATCTGGGGTGCCTGGTTCTTTTTCAACCATTACTTTCGTCCAGCGATCAAAGATAAGTGTCAGGCCAAGCTCAGCGGCGAGGGGCTGCTCGGTGGCGACTCGGACAAGCCCGACCTCCGCCTGGACATCTTCCTCGTCCAGCACGACATGGAGAACATGTATATGTGGGCGTTCAAGGAGAAGCCCGAGAACGCGCTCGGGAAGATGCAGCTCCGGAGCTACATGAACGGCCACTCGAGGTTCCGCGAGCCGCAGTTTCCTTTCAGCGTGGAGAAGGGATTCATCCGCTCTCACCGGATGCAGAGGAAGCATTACAGGGGGCTGTCCAACCCGCAGTGCATCCACGGGATCGAGGTGGTCAGGACGCCGAACGTGGCGTTCGTGAGCGAGGAGGATAGGAAGCGGTGGAAGGAACTTACCGGCCGGGACGTCAACTTCACCATCCCTCACAACGCTGAGGCTTTCGTCGACTGGCGGACGGTCCCGAGCCCGGATCACGAGCTGGAGAGGCTGGGACTTCCGCTGCAGCAGACCAAGTCTCCAAACGGATCGCTCCGGAAGTGTGGTGGTGGTGGTGGCGGTCCTCTCAACGGGACGTCGCTGAACTTATCGACGCAGCTCTCGGATCCCGGTGCCAGTGGCTTGAGCACGAACGGGACCATGAACGGGAACGGCAGCAGCGTCGCCAACAACGCCAAGCGCAAGAGGAAGACGTACTCGCCGGTGAGGAACAACACCGACGCGGAGTCGTGCGTCCCGATCGTCACCTTCTCCGGGCTGGAGGAGCTCAGTGGTGGAAGCCCGCAGCCGAGCTGGTACTCGAGCTTCTCGGGTGTCATCACTCAGGCGTCCGGGCCAGTGACGGGGGCCAAGACCATCTACGAGGACGACGAAGGCTACCTCATCATGGTGAGCTTACCATTCACGGACAAGCACAGGCTTCGCGTCTCGTGGAGGAACACGGCCACTCACGGCGTGGTGAAGATCCACTGCTTGAGCACCGGGAGAGCTCCGTTCGTGAAGAGGGGGGACAGGACTTTCAAGCTCACGGATTTGAGCCCCGAGCACTGCCCTCCCGGCGAGTTCCTGCGAGAGATTGATCTGGCGACTCGGATCCCGGACAACGCTGAGCTCAAGGCCTACTACGTCGAGGCGATCGCGGGGCTGGAGATCATGGTTCCAAAGCATATGTTCTCCGAGGAGCGCGAGGTGTTGGTGCTCTTGCCAGGATCACAGGTTGGTCACACAGATTCTTGACGATTCAAGGAGGACGACGACGAAAATAACACAGGAAAAAAAAAGAGGTAGGATTTTTTTTGGAACACTGCTGGGTGGTGGTTTTTTTTGTACTAGTTCTTTATCTCTCTTCTCTCGTACTTGAAATTGTGCTGTGGTTTGCAATGTACATACAGGAGGTTCTTTGTAAATTTTGCTTAGAGGTAAAAATTCGCATTTATTTTAACCTTTTCTGTCTCTTCTAGATGGAGGATTTAGGGTTTTTCAGGGATGAGCATGGCTGCCACAGCGCCTTGTGCCCTGTGGTGTGATCCATTGCGGCGTTCTTCGTCGCAAGCCGCGATTTCGCGTGTCGCTAGCAGGAATCTGTTCAGCAGGTAGGAGAAATTTCGTGGATTTTCTTCTTAGAATGCGGAGTTTTGTGTTGCAGTAGCTCCAGCTTGCGATTCTATGGCCGGCTTCGCTGGAGAACCAGCTTTGTGGCCATGGATGCGTCCTTCTCTTCGAGCGAAGCGGACGCGGATGAGATTCCAGGTATTTCTCTCTCGTTTGGCTGCATTGTTGGCTTAGATGCTTAAATTCCTTGGTGCGACCGTTCTATCAAAGCTCAAGGGTTTTTCTTGGATGTCTTCGTTTGTTTCTTCTTGCGTTGCCTTGGCCAAGCTCTTGTTCTCTAGATATCTTAGATACTTTCTTGGTGATACTTTGAAGATTTTTTCTTTGATGTTCTTCGTTTGTTTTTCTTGCCTGGGCTTGACAAGCTCCTCAAAATTGTTCCTTGTTGCGGGATTGGATGCTTGCTTTCTCTTCTTTTTTCTCATGAGAGTGATTGGTTAACAGGGCCACCTCCTGTCTTCAACAGGATTTACGTAAGGGATCCTCACAAGCGACTGGGTGTCAGCTACGACGCCTCCGAGATGGAGGTGGAGGAGGCCCGGAGCTTCCTGTTGAGTCAATACGGCAGACACGAGAGGAGTCGAGAAGCTATCGAGGACGCACACGATAGGATAATCTTTGAGAGCTTCCGGGTTCGCAAGCGATCCAAGATCAACCTCAAGACCAACCTGAAGAAGAAGCTGGACGAGTCTCCGCCATGGGTGCGCAAGCTCGCCAGCTTCGTGGAGATTCCAAAGTCGACCATCATCCTCCAGCGCGCAGCTTTGTACGCTGCCATAGGAGTTTGGAGTGTGATGAATGCCGCTGAGGGAGGCCCAGCTTTCCAGGTAAAGCAAAAGCTCTCTTTTCTTCTTCCTTGGCAGCGCTGAAGTTTCGATGTTTACTCAGGTCTTTGTAGCGCTTGGCTGCTGTATATATTTCATCAATGACCGCGTCAAGAGCTTGTCAAGAGCATTCATTCTCGGGTAGAGACTTTTCTCCATCTTTGATTTGCTGGTTTCGATCCAACCCCGTGTTTCTTCCAGGCTTGGTTCTCTCTTCATTGGATGGACGCTCGGCTCGCTCGTTATTCCCTCCTTGTCCGTGTCGGTAAGCTTGCAGCGAGGCAGCCTCGAGCTCTTCACTGCGCTGAGCTCGTACGTTTTTTTGTGGGTGGCGTGCACATTTTTGAAGTGATCGAAGATCAAACTTTTGCAAGCTTTGGTTTCATCTGTAAGTGGTGTCTACAGCTCGACTCTCTAGATCCGTTTTTCTTGCGTCTAACTAATGCAAGGCTTGACATCTGCGAGAACTTCCTTCGCTGCTTGTAGCTCGGCCGTCTCAAGCATCGCCTCGTCATCCTCAACTTCGGCCTAGAACACGGAGAGAAAGAATCGAGAGTAAGAGGATGAACAGTAGTGAATCACTCACGATGAGGGCTTCCAGATCGGCCACAGCAGCCTCGAGCCTCTTGCGGCAATCCGGCACCATCATTCTCGATTCCACCAGCACATTCTCCTGGATCAGGCAAGGAGTTTGAGACAGTGCTAGAGTTCCTGAGCTAGAACCCGAAGAGATCAAAGAAAAGACCTGCTGCTTGAGGTCGAATTGATCGGCGCCATTCTCTCGCATGGACGCCGTCTTGGCGCTCTCTCTCTCCACCTCCTTCTCGTAGGATTTGAGCTCCTTGTGGACGCGCTTGCACGTCCCCGTCTTGATCTTGAGCGTCTTGAGCCCTGGGAGTCCCGCCATAGCCGAGAGAGAGTGAGAGATCTTTGCGCCCAAAACACCGTTATAGGGAGGAAGCGGTTTAACTTAAACAAACCGCAAAAGCATATGCCGTCAGCCATACAGAACATTCCGTCAACTGCGAGGAGTATATTCGCAACCAAGGAACTTTCAAAATGGAATATGCGGGTGTTAGGGCGATGGCTCCACACTGAGGTTTTTGATCCGGCCCGCGATGTCTCCGCCTTCGCCGCGTCGATCCGGCAGTGCGCGGCGACCGGGAGCCTGGCGCGAGCGCGGGATTGCCACTCGCGGATCCTCCACAGCCGGCACAGCGGCAACACATTCCTCGGCAATCTCCTCATCACAATGTACGCCCGTTGCGGGAGCTTGGAGGAGGCGAGGGCGGTGTTTGATGGCCTCGATTCTCCCAATACCTTCTCCTGGAATGCGATCGTGTCGGCGTACGCGCAGGAGCGGCAGCTGGATTCCGCGCGGGAGCTCTTTGATCGGATGCCGGATCGCGATGCCGTTTCCTGGAATCTCATGCTCAAGGCGCATGCCCAGTGTGGGGATCTGGAAGGGGCCAAGTTCTTGTTCGATCGAATGTGGCCAAGAAACGTCATCTCCTGGACTGCGGTCGTCGCGGTCTACTCCCAGTCCGGGCACATCGCTGAGGCGGAGGCGATCTTCCAGAGAATGCCCCAGCACGACACAATCGCAGGGAACGCCATGGTCACAGCATATGCCCAATACGGGCATTTGCGTGAAGCGTTTACTATATTCGACACCATGCCGCTCAAGAACGATCTCTCGTGGAATTTAATGCTCCAGGCATTTTCGGTTAACTCCAGCCCAGAGGACGCGCTACACTTCTTCGAATCCGTGCCTTGCCGGAACGTGGTGTCGTGGAACGCTTTACTCGCAGCATTTGCCCAAAGAGGGCGCTTGGCGGAGGCCAGCAGGACTTTCGAGATGATGCCGCAGCTGGAGCTCGCGTCGTGGAATACCATGATCACAGCGTTTGCAAACACCGGCTATCTCTCCAGAGGCCGAGAGCTCTTCGCGACGATGCCCGAGTTTGATATCATCTCCTGGAACACGCTCATCGCTGGCTATGCCGAGAATGCCTCGTACAAGACCGCCGTGGAGCTCTTCCGGGAGCTCAACCTCGAGGGACTCAAGCCCACCGAGAGCACTTTCGTGGGTCTACTGATAGGATGCAACCGCGGAGGCAAAGTGAAGAGAGCTCACGAGCACTTCGTGTCGATGATCACCCAGTATGGACTGCGGCCCGAGCTCGATCACTACGGCTGCATGGTGGAGGTCCTGGGCCGAGCAAAGCAGCTGGGTCATGCCGAGGAGCTTCTCCACGAAATGCCATTCTTCCCAGGACCTGTTGCTTGGACGAGCTACTTGAGCTCGTGTAGAATGCACGGCGACTTCAAGCGCGCTGCGCAAGCTGCGCAGCATCTCATGGAGCTGGACCCCGAGAACAAGTCGATGTATCAGCTTCTCGCCAACATGTACACCGAGAAAGCAGCAGCGCAGCAGCAGCAGCAACAGTCCCCGATGATCGACGGAGAGGTTGTCCCGGAAAGTTTTGAGCAGAAAAACTTGTTGCAAGATCACCACGAGGCTGTTGATCCCGCAGTCGAGCCTTCACGCTGGTAAGGGAAGCTTTCCATTGTCTTGTGAGAACACTCTCGTTTTAGTTGGAGCTTGCGGCTTCTCAGCATCCGAACGGTGTTTTTGAGCCTGATCATGTCCTGCGTCCGACCAACAGCTCCATAGATGTTGGCTAAGAGCATCCGAACGCCGTCCTCGCTCGGATCCAGCTTGAGTGCATTCTCTGCCGCTCGCTCTCCACGCTGGACGTCGCGATGAATCCCGCAGCCACCGAGAAGAGCCCCCCAGCTCGCGGCATCCGGTTCAAACGGCATAGAATCCAGAACCTCCTCGGCCTCTTCGAGCTGTCCAAACCGGCCGAGGATGTCAACCACGCAGCTGTAGTGCTCGCGGACAGGATCCACGTCGAAGTCGAAGACCATCGATCGGAAGTAGCCGAGTCCCCGAGAAAACAATCCCGCGTGGCTGCATCCGCCAAGCACGCTCGTGAAGGTGACATCGTCGGGCTGGAGTGATCCTTCGGCGTTCATGGCGTAGAAAAACTCCATGGCGTCGGAGAAGCTCTCGGCCAGAGCATAAGCCGTGAACATCGCGCTGGAGAAGACGAGCTCGGAAGACACCAGTGGCATGGCGTCGAAAGTGCTCCTCGCCCGTCGCATATACCCGTTCCGGGCATAGCCCGCGATCATGATCGTCCAGGAAACGCAGTCCCACTGTGGCATGCTGGAGAAGAGCTTTCGAGCTTCGTCGACGTGCCCCTGCTGCGCATAGCTCGCCACAACGATGTTCCACGAGACGATATCCCTCTCGGGCATAGCGTCGAAAGTGGTTCGCAGTTCTTCGATGTAGCCGTGCTGCGAGTAGGCCGCCAGCATCGTGTTCCAAGCCAGGATGTCTTTCGCCACCATTTTGTCGAACACCGCCTCGGCCTCGTCGATCCTCCCGAGCTGCGAGTACATTCGCAGGATGGCCGTGGCGAGCACCAAGTTGTGGACTGGCATGCGGTCGAACAAGCTCCTGGCCTCCTCGAAGTGATTGCTCTGAGCGTAGGCGGCGACGAGAGACGTCCAGGCGATGGCGTCTCGCTGCGGCATCTTGTCAAACATCTGCTTTGCCCGATCCAGATCGCCGCTCTGAGCGTACGAGGAGAGAAGTGCCGTGCACGAGACTATGTTCTGGACGGGCATCTCCTCGAAGATGAGCTCGGCCTCTCGGAGCTGGCCGTTTTGCGAGAAGGCCTGGATCATCGCTGTCTGGGAGATGATGTCCTGGTCGGGCATTCGATCGAAGATGGCCTTGGCTTGCTCGAGATCCCCCGACTGGATGTGCACTGTGAGCATTGAGGTGAGCGCGACGAGATCGTGCTCGGGCATGTTGTTAAAGACCGCGCGAGCCTCTTCAATATGCCCGTCCTGGGCATATGCAGCGAGCATGGAAGTCCACGACAAGAGGTTCCTCTCTGGAATTTTGTTGAAGATCTCAACTGCTAAATCGACGCGAGAGCTCTCGCCATAGGCCTGGATCATCGCAGTCTCAGTGATCGCATTCCTCTCAGGCATCAAAGAGAAGAGCTTACCTGCGTCCTCCAAATGCCCGTTTCGACCAAGCGCCTGGATCATGGCTGTCCACGAGACGACGTCGTGCTGGGGCATGGAATCAAACAGGCGCTTCGCCTCATCCACGCTGCCGCCGCGAGAACTCGCCGTGATCATCGTGTTCCATGCCGTGAGATCCCTCCGGGGCATCCGCTGGAACGTCTCCCGGGCCTGATCCAAGCAGCCATTGTGAGCGTAAGCTTGGAGCAAGATGTTCCAGGAGTAGCCATTCGGCTCCTGGATAGCATCGAAAGCGTACCTGGCATCGCGCACGCCGCCGCATTTGCCATACATCTCCACGCAGAGATTGGCGAGGAGCTTGTCGTGGCGGCACTCGGCGCTGGCCAAGATCCGAGCGTGGAGCCGCCGTGCCTGCTCCAAATCCCTGCACGATCGAAGAAGTGCCGAGAACTGCGAGGAGGGATCGCTCTCCCTCCTCGCATTCTCCATCAAGAGCCCTAGAACAAATTTCTCTCTTAGAAGCGCGGGAAACACGGGCAAGTTTGTGTTTCCTTTGTTAAGATCAAAGCTTCCTTCTAGACGATTGTAAGCAGGATGCAGAGTGTTTAGGAAAAACCTACTGGACCAGTGGGAAAGGTGCCAGTTCTTTTTTAAACATGCAGACCGATATCATGATTGTTGAGATGTTTAAGAAATCTTCCCATTACTCCAGTAGGTTTAAGGATCATTATGCCACATTCCAAGCACCCATAGCCAACTAATAAAATATTTTTTAATACCAAATGTAACTTTTAAATTTAAATTTACTATGAGATCACCCTTCTAATATCAAATATAAACTTTTAAATCTAAATTTTCTGAATGTCACCCAAATGGTCAGACTGGCTCTAGAGAGATGATATTTGTTGACAGTGGACTCCATCTTTGCAGGGATAATGTACACTCCAGGATCTGAGGATGCCTTTGTGCTCACAGTCTGCTGGTAGAGTGGGAGAAAGAGCTGGATTGGACGCTCTGGCTATTGCCTTCAATTGCTGCCCGATTCCTGGAGCTGCTTGCAAACGATCACCCAGTGAGAGGGAAACTTGCATGTCAAGCAAATGCTGGATGGAGTTCTCCACTGGGTCTCTTAGTGCAAGTAGCTGGTCTTGGAAGATTTTCTTGTGTGGGATCAAGTGGAAAAACCGAAGGAACTGGTAGCTTGCATGCTGTGAGTGTTGTTGGAGAGGAATCCTTGGGATTTGGATCTCCTTTCTGGGCAGCTATGGCTTTCTACTTTTGGGCATGGCAAGTTGCTGCTTCTGTGCCTCTTTCTCATAAGTTTTGATCATGTTGATGTGAGCTGGAGCTTTTTCATGATTGATAGACATAGATAGTGTTGCGTCGATGGCTCATTGCTGGAGAATCTCCCAGATGAGGATGATGCCAGAGCAGAGTGATCTGCAAACAGCTGCCTCTAGACCAGCTGCTGTTGAGGAGGACACAGCTCCGAGTGGAGATGCCAATAGCATGTTGTATCAAGAGCGTTCAAGCAATATTCATCACACTAGTGTGGACGATGAGGAGGATGTGTCTTTGCTAGGAGTCTCAAGTCTTGGAGCTCCTCAACCAATTTGAGCTATTGCTCCTCCTAAGCTTGAGATGGAGATATTTTGGGAGCTGGAGTTTCTTTTAAGTTCAAGGCCCTCTATGGGCTGCTAGTTGCATTATCAAACCCTAACCAGCAGTTGAGTAGATGACTTCAGCCATGGAATTAGCATTAGCGAAATTCAAGGAATATAAAATGCTTCTCCAACAAGAGCAGCATGTGCATATGTGTCAAAGGCATTTTTTAAGTTGTTGCTTTGCCCCATGCCTTGCCAATCCCTGATCAAGAGAGATACTTCAACTTTTGATATAATATTATATTTTGACTACTTTTCACAACATTTAAGTCACTCATTAAACATAATAATTTTAAAATATATCCAAGTTAAGAATTCATTTATAATAATTCAAATCTTTTAAATAAAGAAATTAATATTTAAAATAAATAAGTAAACCAAGATACTTAATATATATTTGGATATTGGTATAATTTATCATCTTAATCCAACTATGATGTATCAGATAGAAATCAGTCTTTAAAAGTGTTTGAGTGTGATAGAAAAATTGTTGATATGAGAATCTATTAAAATATATATACATATAAGAAATAAATGTGTTAATACTATATGTTTCTAAGATTTTCATGAGCTGTGACAAAGCATTCACTTGCATAAATAGACTATATTAACAAACTATTGTAATAATAATTATAAGATTAATCTCAAAATACATTATCTTTTATTTAAACTCTCAAAAATATCATTAGCTTTAGATTAAATATTTGTTACATAACACATATTTTATGAATTTGTATTTAGCTTAAATATCCTCTAGTTTAAAGGATAAGAACAAAGAAAAGTCTGGTGCAAAGGGCTCCTGTAAAAGGCCCACATTCAATCCAAGTCATGGACTTGAAATCATCCCCAGATCCCAAGGCATTTATTGCAAATGTTTTGATTAGTGGATCATACTAGCAAAGGACTGAATCTTCAACTAACATGATTTATTCTCACCTATTGAAGGCTTTGCACTTTTCTCCTTCAAAGAACATAACTATACTACTCAAAACTTTACAAAAAATATAGTGGTGCCTCTAGGAGTTTGTTGAGACATCTTGATCCAGGGTGATAGCATTTCAACTTATGTGGACTTCAACTTCCACTCCAAATGTGGAGTCCATCATCCTTTGCATCTGGAGCAGTGAGCACTGAGGACACAGTGCATTTAGGAACAACCCCTAGCTGACAATAGCTTGCTCCAGACTTCTCAAAATTAGTACGAAAGTTTTCTATTTTAGTCAACACCATCTTTGTTGAGTTTTGGCAAGAAGAAAGTTATCTCAATGATTTAGATAGGGCTTAGAGGAAGAAGCTCATTGCCACAGAGGCACTAGATGGCAGCTCAGGCCAAGGAAAAGTCATTGCCTACAAGATAACCCAATAATGTAAGCACACTGTCAAGGCTAGCTCCAAAGCCCTAAATCTTGGTAAGCTTTATACATGGATCTTGGGATATTCAAGGAATATCCCACTCTCACTTTCATGCTCTAACTAGATGTGGCAAAGCTCCCAACACTAGCACTAGATCTTGATGAGGAACACTTTTGAGCTTTTTCCAAGCACTTGAATAGGCAAAATATGAATATGAACACTTCTTGCTGTCACTAGCTTTTAATTCATTGTGACCATTCTTGGCAGGCCATGAAATATAATCAATATCCAAAAGTTTGGATATAACTGACATTGTTCTAAATACTTGAGACTCTAATGATAGTTTCATAGATATTTTTATACTCATATTGCATGATATTAGAAGACAAGATACTATTGGGGTTAGGAGCTATAGAACAAGTGTTGGCTCTAAAGTTGTAATCAATGCTGAAAAACCAAAGGTGTATAGTGGCACTATACTTATCTGTGACAACTCCTACAGAATAATAAGGGTGTTTTTGAAATGATTGAATGAGTTAGGAAATAGCACTAGTAATCTTCTTTATTTTAATTGGGAGAATCTTTCAGCATATCAAATGCATACAAACCTCTTCGTGTAAAATCTTTTTTTTCTATAAATAAAATTCTATTTTATAATTGTTGCTCCATATTAATTATATATTCTTTCACTCCTTGGCTTTTAACAATAATTCTTTGAGGATCCCACCACATTTAGCTGTCCAAGAACTAAGACTTTGCCTTATGCCAAATGAACAATATACATACATGTATTTTCATATTGAGCTTGTCATGATGCCATGTCCTGGAATCTAATACTCAAAACTTTGTTTTATGCTGTGTTTGTATATTTAAGTTGTGGAGCCTTTGTAAATACTGTAATAATAATAATAATAATAATAATAATAATAATAATATCTCTCTATAGTGCCTAATTGGATATATAATGACACTATGATTTATAGGTGAACTCTCAGCTTATGAGTTATTATCACAAGCCTTCTATTAACTTTGAGATCCCATATAGATTTTGTTTTATGCCAAAACAATAGTGGAATGTTTCTTTTGAATGAGGCAAGTATATCTATATTAAATTGCTGAAGTTAGACAATAACATATTCAAAAACTTACCCTCTAAGTAAAGTACATAAAAGTGTTACAATAGCTTCAAGAATTAGTTTTTCTGTAATAAATTGAAATTAATAAGATTGAACTATGTAATCTAACCATCATCTTTTACAAGAGGCCAATAGTTATTATGCAATCATATTGCCTTTTACAAGTATCCCAAAAATATATCCCAACCCACACCCACTAGAAGTGAGGCTTACCCACCTTACATATGTGATTTTTACCTTTTACCTTATGGTGATTTACTATAGGATAACCATAGAGTGAAATATAACCTGTGAACATATGAGGATAGTGGAGCAGAACTTGATGGCCATATGGGGGCCCTAGGAATATAATCACTAATCTTTATATTTCCATTAAGACCTATAGTGATTAGGCATGGACATACATTGCATTTATGTAGGATTTATGTTGTCACTTTGTCCACATTACTAATGTCAGACAATATGGGTAAGATTTGGCAGCTAGTAACCCACCCTTAAAACTTCAACTTTCTTGCTTCCATATGGTGACTGTCAGCAATTCAAATTATCCCACTCATTGTCAATTTACATCTCTTATGGTTTAGGTTTTGTTGGATGGATACAGCTTGGCACAGCTCTCAATTTGAAAACACTAGGTACAGTAAGGGACACTTTCTTTGTCTTGAGAAAAAAGAGAAGGAGAAAAAAATTAATTAAATCCTAAAGGAAAAAAATTGAGAATAGAGGCTTTCTAGGCAAAGAATTAGAATAAGAATTGAGAAAATGATTAGACTTATTCATAGATTCTATCTGTTTTTTCTTATAGCATCAAGGATGGAACTAGAAAAAAATCAAATCACAAAGGTGAGATATATATCTGCTAATGCCAAAGGAGAATTTTGTCGATGATACATCCTTATACTCAATAGGATCCAAAGTTGCCTTTATGCCACCCATCTAGGAGGTGGGGGAGAAGCAAGTGAAGAAGAGCTTATGCAATTTACACAAAGTTGACAATATTGAAAAAACCTTATTGTAGCCCCTTCGACATGTCAAGATTCATTGAGGTAAAAAATAAAAAATAAAAACTCTTGTTTTACCATTTTTTGTGCTTGGATAAAGGGTTAGATGGGGGAAAAATCCTAAGAGACCCAAATCTACTGATCATCATGATTATTTCACTTCCATCCACCATAGCTAACACCATATCTCCACTATACCCTAGGTATGTATTTTAGTGAAACTCCACTTATGGCCATCAAATGCCATGTGGAAAGTGAATGGCAGGTACTTCATTGGTAATAGATTGGGCTCAAGTGGTAGAGAAAAAGTAAGGGCTTCATTGGAAAAGAGCATTTGAAGGTTATACCCTTGCAAAAGGAGTTATATACATAGAATTGGTGATAAAACCTTATATTTTATAGTTTGCAAAAATTGATTGGTATTGTAGCTCTACTATTTCCTTAGCATTAGTCATACCTGAATCAGTAACTTCTGATTACATAGAATTTTTGTCAAGAAAAATTGCCATTTAACTTTATAATATGGAGAGTTGATTGAAGTGCAAAGTATGCACTTGTAGCCATTTATTTTTGTGGATGAAATACCCTAGATATTTATATATACTTGGCCAAACATGATAATATGTTGGCTGTTTCAAGCATATTTGTGAAGATCTTTACTTGTCTCCAAGCTCTCATTGGATAAAAACCCATGATCTCCATGCAATTGATTTTCCCAAATAGTACTTTTATGTAGATCAATTGCTCATTTTTTACATATTATTGAGATTCAAACATAATTAGGTTATCTTTCTTGGTTTTCTAGCTATTGAGTGCTGCCTTGAATGCAATCATTGTCTTCAATGTATTAATATAAATGGCAAACTTTGGGGAAAGTGGACGGCCTTGAAATTGCAATCAGAGTTGATATAGCTCTATAATAGCTACAATGAGAGGTGTGGACACTTTGATTTCAATTAGGTTGTATAAGCAAGTAGTGCACTCACTCTATAAGTTATCAAGAATGTGTCTATATGTGCTCTTTTATTCTGATGACAAACTTTGTTTAGAAATGCAGAATACATTAAATGTAACAAGATTTGACCAAACCAGAGTGTAAGTAGTGGGATCTCCTGTTCTATACAAAAAATGATAACCAAATAATCCTTTAGTAAGCACTTCATTAAAAATTGGAGTACCATTTATTGTGACTCAAGACCCTACACCACCATACTCAACTCTTATATGCAACACTTCAAGGTAGGGAAGTGAAACTCTACTCATAGATGCTCCCAAGACCAAAAGGCACATTGTTTATGATTATAGGAAAACTTACATTATTATTAGCTCCTTTAAGTGCTTATGACCTTTCTTCTTCTTTTAATTCTCTTATCTTTCTCTTCTTATTTAACTGATTTCCCCTTTTTATGAGTTTAAACATGCTTTCTCCACATAACAAATAAAGAAGATCTTGTTGGTTTGCTTAAGAAAACCTATACAAAGAATATACCTAGATATTCTAGGATATTCTACCATTTAATGGTTGTCATTTATTTAGATTAATGTTTTATTTTTAATTTATAAAGATTTCTTCCATTTAGTCATATAGAACAAAGTTGCAATCATAGCTTGATAACATCCATTCTTTGATTGTAACACATATGGTTCATCAAGATAAAGCCACTGATGACACTTGTCTCAAAAGGCAAACAATCTTCTAAGCTTGAATACCAATCATGGATTAAAAAGACACTTCTATATACATTATGAGATTATGACCGTGAAGGGGAACTGAAACATTCCAATGTTTGATATAACTATTTAATTCATTGTGACCTTTCTTTCCATGAGACATAATCAATTCCAAAGAGTTTTGAAATTACTAACATTGTTCCATAACTATTGCTACTTAGCACTTGTTTAGTGACTCAAGAGCAATCTATTGCTTTATCATCTAAATTCATAACTGTTTATTTCACAGCCTGGTATGCCAACGAAACATTGTCCCTGGCAAGTCGATCAGCAGCTCAAGCAACCCTTGCAAGAAATCCTGGAAAGGAGCCAGGAGCTCCCTCTCCTCCTCCTCGTCCGAGATACTCAAGAACAAGCTAAAGACGAGCGAGAACAAGGCCTTCTTCACGAGGGGGTAAGCCTTCACCTCCGATCCAGCCATCCAAAACTTGTCAATGTGTTCTTGGATGATCATGCTCGCCCTCTCCACATACCGTCATGCAATATAAGTAGAAACAGATTTTCAAAACCATCATTGTGGTGTCCGGGGCTCATTAATGCTATAAGGTTTAAGGGGAACCAAAGCTTTTTAAGGGAATTGATGAGATAGGACATCCCACTAGTGATCTTCTTTATTTCTAACGGGGAGAATCGACTTAAATGCCGAGCATTTTGGATTGTCATGCTAGAAGCATGTAAGAACAATCCTGTAAGCATAATGATAGATGGTATAAATTTCTTCACTATTTTAACTTTGGAGCTTTTTCAAATGCTTACATGGTGGCAATCTCTCCTATGTTAATAGTTTTTGGAACAGACTTCCACGTGGTTCTCTGCAACACCTAGAAACCAGCTTTTAAGTCTTGGACATTGATACTTCTTGGCTGATTTTTACGTGGTTTTTATGGCAGAAACCAACTTAAATCTTGAATGCACTTCCTGATTTCTCAATAAAGATATCTATAAAATGGGGATCCATCAAGAGCCCTAGAAATATTTTTCCCCTATAAGCGAGCTTTAAGGCCGGTTAAACTGGGGTAAAGGCAACTGCCGTTATGTCCATGAGCTCGGAGCCCTAATCGCTGGCTATGGCGACCACGTCTCTTCACCTTCTCAATGCGATCGCTTAGCAATCGCGGTAAGCCTATTTTCTCGATCTATGGCAATGCGGCCCCCTTGCGATCACGTTGTCTCGCACGCATTTCACGACGAGCTCGAAAATATTTCTTTAGTTTAGGTTTGGGACAGGCGATTCCAGCTGGAAGCCATTCGATCATTTGTTTAGCTTCGCAAGTCTTAGTTTGGCTGTGATCGCAGAGAAAGGAGATCGGCTACGCGCGGAGAATGGCCCAAGCACAAGCTTATGCCGGATGGGTCTACCATGTTGGAATCAATTCCAAGGACCTCCAGTACTGTCACGCTCGATACCTGGTGATCAAAGGGAGATGCGTGGATATGTATAAGCGAGATCCACAGGAAGAGCCTGGCCTGGTAACATTTCTTTAGTCTCCTGCCATTACCATGAATGAAGCTCACAATTTTTTCTCGATCGATGCAGCAACCGATGAAGAAGGGGATTGTTAGACACAACTTGATGGTCGCGGAGATTGGCCGCCAGATCGTCTACGGCAGGGTGCGTGTTACAGGAAAAGAAGTAGCTAGCTCCATTTCAGAAACTTCACAGTGATCGTGTTCGTCAGGTACTTTATGGAATGAAGATCCACAGTAAACGAGATCACAGCAAGCATGTACAGGTACTGTAGTGATTTTCTCAGGCCAGTGGTGGTAGTGATCGAGAATGTGTGCGCAGTTTGCGTGCTCCAGTGCCGAAGAGATAGAGAAATGGATGTCCGCGTTTCGCCATGCGAAAGACGAGGTGACTTCCTTGACTTTAGTTGTATCTCGGCTGATCTTTTCTCCTTTCTAGGCCGAACTTGAAGCTAGAAAAACATCAGCCCGCGCTCCCTCGCTCACTGAGGAGGAGTAAGTGCCACTTTTTCCAGCCGCCTTGTGTCTGATCTGGAGCTTTGGCAGGAGTAAACAGACTTTGCCCCGGATGCGATCAAAGTCGCGGTTGAGCAGACTTATTACCATTGGAAAAGGTAACGAAACTTAGATCTGAGGGAGATAGATGCAGTTGACGGAAGGTTCCAGGGCCTGAAATGCTCATGAGGGCACGAACATCGATGATTCAGGAAGCTGACACTGACGATTATTTCAACAAGCGTGACGGTGATGCCGTTGAACAAGCAGACTGGAGGTGCTTCCAAACTCAAAATGGTCTGTCAAACTTTCCGTTTTTGACAAGCGAGTGTTAGCTACTGTAATTGCAGGCTTGCGCATGTTTGAGGACGTGGCTGCTCTTCAAGTGTGTTTTCTTTGCTAAGATCAGAGCTTTCTTTCAGCTCATGTTGCTTACAGGCTGATAGAGGCACGATCATGAAATCCGTCGGCGTGGTTGATGCGTCGCCGGATGCAGTTTTTGAGATTGTAATGAGCCTAGACAAGTCGCAAAGACATCAGTACTTCCGATCGAACTCTGCCTCTCGTTTCGTAGCTTGTTTGACAAGAGCCAGTGTTTTTGGTTTCATAATCCAGGTGGGATGTTCTAACCGGAGACTTGGAGCTTGTTGAGCACATCGACGGGCATGCTGACATAGTCTACGGGACTTTCGATCCAAAATATTTCGAGAAGTAAGTGATCCTGCTATTTCTCTAGCTACAATTCACATGGAGTTCTTGCAGTTGGAGCTGGTATAGAAAATACAAAAGACGGGACTTTCTGATTTCGCGTTATTGGCGCCGTGATCAAGATGGCTCTTATTGTAAGTTCATTTCTACGGACATAACCCGAAGTTTATGCAAAGGTTGGCTGCAGCTATCACGCAAATTAGCACTCTTCACAGAAATCGACCGAAAAGGCCTGGATTACGTCGTGTTGTTTTAAACTGTAAGTGTCGTATTTGCTGCTTTGTCAAAGTGTTTAACGTCCGGTCTCATGCAGCTGGTATTTGGGAGATAAACCCGTTGCCGACAAGGTCAGGAGCCACGGGATCTCGATCTTTAGTAACACAGGTTATGGAGATTGAATCCACAGGATGGGGGAGGTGGAGAAAAAGCTGGGGCAAATGGAAAAAGAGTGACTACTCCTCTTTTCGGAAAACCGTGCCGTATATATTGCTTTGTCGCACAGCAGGTTCTTTTTGGTAATGCTTGTACTCATTTGTTGATCGTTTTGCTCTACAGGCTTGAGGGAGTTTTTCAAGGCTGAAGCGGAGCTGAGCTTGTTAGAAGATCGAATTTCTGTTTTGAATGTTCCAAAGGAAGCGGCCAAGCCTTTAGAAACTGCTGCAGACACGGAAGTTACCGAAGATTTCATTGATGCGATTGTTTCCGAGGATCCAGATGCCGGTGATGACACCGAAGGGCTGATTAGCAATATCCCGTTTCAGGTATGGCATTTTTCTTTTACGTAGACCACGTTTTCACAACTATGTTTTGCAGAGAGGGAGCCATAGACTTAGCAGAGCCCCATGGAGCGCAATGCTGGCACTTGCTGCAGGTAAAACATCTTTAGAGTCTTAAAAATTTAGTCACGGTTTTCTCTTAACTCTCCAGCGCAACTGGAAAATCCACTGCTGGCCGACGAGCCACGAATCAACCTGGATGTAAACGCATTCAAAGGCTCACTAGAACCTGCGTCTCCGTCCAAGGATTGTAACTGTTGGGAGGACCCCGGTGGAAAAGGTTTTATGGTCCGGGGTAGAACATATACGAGAGATAATCTGAAGGTACCATTCTTTCTCACACTGTGACAATGTTCTTAGCCTTTCCTTGTCAGATTCCTGGGGGAGAGCCAGTCTTGAAGCTTCTAGCCGTCGACTGGTACAAATCCGCTCACAGAATTGACTTGGTTGCGAGGCATCCACAAAGTATCGTCCGGACAGAAGCAGGCAAAAAACTTCCATTTGTTTTGATCGTCAACCTGCAGGTAAGTTTTGCGAAAATCTGCTGCAATGATCTTGCTTTTTCTACCGAAGGTACCCGCGAAGCCAAACTACAGCTTGGTCTTTTACTACGCAGCAGATCGCTCGCTTAGGCCAAGCTCACTGCTTGAGAAGTTTGCGAATGGGGATGACTCGTTTAGAAACTCGCGGTTCAAGCTCATTCCAAGCATCGTGGAGGTGAGGCTAGGTTTTATATGCTATGAATTTATAGTCTAGGATTTACTCGCATTGTTTCGTTTGGATTCTCGCAGGGATATTGGGTCGTAAGACGAGCTGTTGGCACCAAGGCGTGCCTTTTAGGAAGAGCAGTAGCTTGCCATTACCATAGGAAGGACAATTACTTGGAGGTTCGTTTGCAAGTTCCAGCATTTCTTTCAATGCTCGAGCATTTCTAAACAAAGTTTCTTCTTTCAGGTTGATGTGGATATAGGATCCTCTTCCGTGGCACGAGGAGTTATCGGGCTAGTGCTGGGATATGTCACCAAAATAGTTGTCGATCTTGCGATTGTTGTTGAGGTACCAAAGCTATCAAAGTTTCTTCAAAGTTTTGGAGATTATTTTATCTCGATTTCCAGGCCAAAGAGGACGACGAGCTGCCAGAATACATACTGGGCACAACTCGAGTAAATAGAATCAGCCCAGAATCTGCCGTGCCTTTTCAACTCGGTTGATTTTCTTTTTTACCTTTCCATTTTACCCTTTTCATTCTTTTGTAAATATCAGACATAGCATGCACAATGGGAGACACAAAATTAATGTGAGGAACTTTGCATGGTTGCTTTGTATATATAAGTGTCCTGTTGGTTTAGGTCCTTCATCAACCAATAACCATGGCGTGGTTGGCCTTTCTGGTGTTTGTATTGACCGCTAGTGTGGCTGGCGGTCAACAATCACCACCTCCTCCCAGAAGTCCGCCACCACCTCCGCCACCGCATCCGCCTCCGCCAACTCCACCCCCGCCATCACCGCCACCTCCTACTCCGCCCCCGCCATCACCCCCACCTCCAACTCCACCCCCGCCAACTCCGCCCCCGCCATCGCCGCCACCTCCACCTCCGTGTCCACCACCTCCAACTCCGCCACCGCCGCCACCTCCTACTCCACCTCCACCTCCACCTCCGTGTCCACCACCTCCAACTGCGCCACCGCCGCCACCGCCTCCGTGTCCGCCACCTCCTACTCGACCTCCGCCTCCGCCGCCACCACCTCCAACTCCGCCACCGCCGCCACCTCCGTGTCCACCACCTCCAACTCCGCCACCGCCGCCACCGCCTCCGTGTCCGCCACCTCCACCTCCAACGCGACCACCCAGAACTCCGCCACCTTCCAAGACACCACCTCCACCTCCGTGTCCGCCACCCGATACTCCGCCACCACGACCACCGTGCCCGCCGCCATCACCCCCACGTCACACTTGCCCATCTCTTCCATCCTGTCCCTCCCATCGCCAAACACCACCACCGCCATCCCACTGCTCTCCCTGCTGTGGGAAAGCCCATCATCCAAAACTTCCCTTGACACAAATCTTCACAGTGATGAACCATTTGCAGCGCTTGTACGTGACTGCCGCTTCCAAGAAGAGCGCAAACTTCTCCGGCGAGGAGGCTTTAACAATGGATATCATCTCCGAGTTTGGCATCCAGTCCGCGTTGCAAACAAGGTTTGATCGTCGGAGATCACACTAGCTTTGATCGAGCAAAATCTTCTCTCTTTCGCTTGGCAGGATGATCCAGAAACACCTGGGAGATGGCGTCGAGGCCCCGGAGATTGCGTCGACCAAGCTGGCTTTCCAAAGGATCGTGCATGCAGCATTCGGTGAGGTGCTGAGCCCAGCATTTGATCCTTTCTCCACACCACTGAGCGCTCTCGTCGCGAGCTCCACTGTTCTACCGTTGGCCACATCGCTCTCAGTCGGGATCCTGCCGGAGCTCCACTCCAAATCCTCCAAAGCTGTAAGTTGGACTGGATCGATCTTTGTTACCAGTGTGACTTGGTTTTGGTTTTGCTGCTCCAGCTCGTCGCCGGCGTCGTGGGAGCGCTAGCAGGCCAGGATGCTGCAGTTCGAGCACTGCTTTACAGGCACCGGAAGGAGATCGTCGCTCCATACGAACACTCGGTGGCTCACTTCCACGGCAAAGTCCTGGGCTTGACGAGATCGCTTGAGTTGCTCAGCGGAGCTCATCCCGCAAAGTACCAGTCGAGCCTCTTCTCTCTTCCGGTGGATGATAGTGGAGTTTCTCCAGCTCTATCTGCAGAACAGGCGAGGCTAGTGTTGCAGAGGCTGGGATTCCTGCAATGATACGAAGTCAGCGCAGCATAAAACGATGGAGGTTCTATTACAAACCTTCGAATGTACTCGACTCTTGCTATAAATTTCTTTTGTTGAATTCTACAGAAGTTCTTTGCTGAGGTTCAATCATGTTTGTCTTTGATAAAGGCTGGATGATGCATGATCGAGAGCGTAAGTCAATAGCACGCTGTCCTCTGTCAAATCCAACTAGAAAGCATTAGTTTCTTTCAAGACAGCGTGCATTTCCAAAAACTTTGGTCTGGATTCTGAAGTAAAAAAGAGGTTGCACAGAGCGTGTTTATCGACACGAACATGGATCAACGGACCTCTAGCAAGAACCAAGCGTGAGAATTATTGATTCTGCTAGCATCCGGAGGATTATTTCCCAGCCACCTCCATTCAATGTTCCGTGCCAAACAGCGTCTTCAAGAGAGGATCCGGGCCTGGAACAGAAAATAAAAAAGTCAAAAGCTCATACTTACTTCCAAGTCGAGATACTCACCCCATGGAAAATCCTTGTGGCGAACGTTCATGTATGGATACTCCTGCGAGGGATAGCAAGAAAAGAAAATCACAAAAGGAGAGAAAAGAAGAAAAACTCTTAGAACGTACTTTTCTGGGCTCATGAACTTCCGGATGGTTGTAGACATAGAACCCATCACAAAGGCACACGATGATCATCCCGAGAGTTATCTTCTTCCATTTGCTGATCTCATCTAGGAAATGGAAATCCAGCGCTTGAGAGTGCGAAAAAGACCAAAAAGATAGAAGATACTTACGGAGGTCGTGCTCCACCTCTTCCTGGCTCTTCAGCGCGAAGCGATTGTAGCTGTTCGTCGGGAGTTCCACGGCATTGTACTTGACAGAGCGCCGGGGCACCGAATTGAAAGGCGATTTGCGAAGAAGAGCCTGCCGCAGCGCCATCGCCATCGCCATCGCTCCTACCTCTTAGGGCAACACAAACCAATCGATCGCGGGCTCAAATCTCATCCACGACAAAGAAATCAATCGCAAGCTCAAATTTCGTCCATAGCTCTTCCTTTGCTATTCTTTGGCTAAGGCCTTAGCGAGGCTACCATGGATTTGGCTGCTTGGATCGAGGAGTTATTCACGCTTGGAATGATCTCCACTGGCGAGAGAAGCTTCACGAATGTTTTTAATTCCGTGAAGCTGCTGTGCTCGCTGTAAGGGACCTCGTACCTAGCAAAGATCAAGGAGAGAGCGATCAAAGAAATACTCGCGATCCTTGACAACGTAAGAGATCACACTACCTGATTATAGTTCCCTGCTGCCATCTCTTGCCATTCCCAGTTCCTCTTTTCCCTTTGGAAAAGCTCCACCCTGTCGGTGAGAAGCTGACGATGGTGGTGTATTTTCCCTGTTCACAAAAACGTGAAGGGATGACTTAAGGTTGGAGCGGCTGGAGCTTACGTGGTAATGCCGGGAGATGGATGCCATCCGTTTGAAGCTCGCAATGCTCCAGAGTGGGACGACGTGAATGCTGCTCTCGCACTCGCTTGTGGTTATCCAGTCCATGTCCTCGTCGCTGAGATCCAGGCAGCCGAGCATTCTGCGCTTGACAGCTCCGACGTATATTTTCTTCCGAAGAACTCTAGCGACTTCCAAGAACAGTCTCTCTTTTCCTGGTAGTTTGAAGGTCAGTCTCTAAAAATTGTGCAAACGAAAAAGAGGAACTTACCCAGACTGTAAGTTCCTATTAGAAACAAAGTACTCGGGTTGAACGATTCGGCTTGAATGGCATCAATAACGAACTGAATGACGGTTTCTTGCTTTGGAAAGTCGTACTACATGCAACACGTATGAGCCGTGGAACTTAAAACTGCTTCAAATACCTGAGGATCGCAGTACGTTGTATCCAAAACCAATGTAGACAATCTACATGGTAAGATATCCATGATTCTTGCCATGTCATCGCAAAACCGAAAGTCTCCCGTGTGCAAGACAAACTGCATCAAACAATGATCAAGTTCTCATTGAAACTTTTCACGAAAACTAGCTGCCACACCTTACCATCGTGTGTTTCGAAAAGGATCATGGCCGCACCTGGACAGTGGTTTGCATCCAAGAGTGTCACCCATACTCCGTCGATCTTTGTTCTTTCGTTGAAGTTTAAAGGATGTAAGCGATCCCACGTAATTCCTATTCGCAAGTTCACAAGGCGCGCAGTTATCATGGAGCAGTAGATTTTTCCGAACCGAAAGCTTTTAGTAAGCCCTTGATAGTCTGAAACAAAACAGCCAAGCAAGATAAGTCGAGTAACAGAATGAGTACTTACGATCGCTGTGAAAATGAGTGAGAAACCAATGGGAACATTCGGTAGTCGTGTGCTTGAACGCATCCTGCAAACTCAGTCGTGAGATAACAGTAGAATACAGATCAGACGGACCACTCTGAACGTTGTGCCTGGAATTTTCATCCACTGCCGTGCTTCGGCAGCTTTGAATAAATTGGAAGGTTTCTTCCGAGTTTTACTGAGTGACGCATCACCGTTTCTCTTTCTTCCAGAAGCGGGTTTTGTGCCTCCTGTTCCTCCAGTAGCTCCGAAAAAATCTGTGATATACTTTTTGCCTGACTGCGGCAGCAGCGCTTCGTCTTCTTCGTTATCGTTTGTTTTGTGCGTGTCATTCTCCGGAACTGGAACTTCGGTGGAGAAAGGTGTTTTCATCTCCCTTAAAGCGGAAACAATCTTCTTCCGAGGTCCAAAAGCATCGATTCCCAAGCTACGGAGATCCTGAGAATGCAGCCAATTCAGTGACGTACCAGAATCTAGAAAACTCGTCTTACTTCCTCTGTAAGCCAATGCAAGGTGTCCCAGTCGATCTCTTCCTTGATAAACAAGGATGCGTATTTGGACAAGTTAAGCTTCTCCAGAAACCTGACCACCGGGGCAACATCAACTGGCAAATTCTGGTAGCACGAAAAAATAAAAGTTAGAAACGAAAGAAATATTCATCTCTTTACCTGATCTTCTTCCACTGCAGATGGCACGTCGTTCTGGCAATGCTGAGAACAAGAAGTCACAAACATGTTTGAGGAATACAAGAAAAGAAATGAAAGACGAAACTTACTTGTGATTTTTTATCCAAACACTCCACTGCAGATGGCACATCGTTCTGGCAATGCTGAGAACAAAAAATCACAAACATGGTTGAGGAAACAAAAAAGGAAAGACATTGAGAGAAACTTACTTGTGATTTTTGATCCAAACACAAATTAGAATGGTCTTCGCGTTGCTGGATCGACATGCTAGTGATCTCGGAACTGCAAATCGGACAAAAGACGGCCGCATTTAGGCCATTCTCATGGATTTTCCCCGAATTGCTGATGTTTTGGAGCACCAACGAGGCCGCTTGTAGCGGCGAATCCACCTGAGTCATCATCAAGCTCACCATATCGTCATCATCCCAATCCTCTGCCCCGGCAGCATCATCAGAGAGGCCCAGTGAAGCATCCATCCTGATTCTAGTCGCGACTCGCGAGCCTTAGCTGACTCGTTAAGAGAGACGCCGCCCTAGACGCCCCTCTTGCTCTCCAAAACACCCTAGCTAGTAATTTCCCGCCCAAGTTTCAAAATGCCATGTTTAAGTAAGTTCTATTGTATTTGAAGAACATTCTTTTGTGATCGAAGAAAAGCGTTCCCTGCCATGAAAACGCAAGAGAATCGATACAAACTAAATGAAACAATCGAATCTTACGTGTGTGGTGGACGAGTCGAGCGTACAAGGCCGTCTAGATCCTCTTTGCGACAGCTCCTTTCCTAGATTTAATGGAAGATCAATAGCAATGTCGCTAAGAACACCGAAGAAACGTACCAAGAGCACGAGTTACATTTGGTATGCACTGTTCTCAGTGGTTTTCACAGCAATCTTAGATATTGGATTGCAAATCTACTGTTCCCAAAAAAATTAAAATCCGTGCGTCCTGCAAGACGAAAAAGAAAACGATAGCAGCAGATAAAAACGGATTAAACAGACCTGGTCACGGATTTCTTCGGATTTCCTGGCAGAAAAATGGGAAAGCCTGTGTACCATTATCTTCTAGATCCTGGTAATGCAGCCACTCACTAAAGTCCTGCCATACAATTGTTCTCTACTGTTAGCCAAAGGAAAGTTTCCTACCTCGATGATTGGACACGAGATTCTTGATCGAGGAGAACCGCAAACTGGAGAAGAACACGTTTGGCACAATGGGCGAGAGAGAAGCTATTGACAATTATGTTTACCTTTGGTTCTTTTTTCCAAGCACGCTTTGAAATGGTGATCCCAAAAGTACAAAGCGGAGATAAGGGATAGACCGTCGCCACAATGGACCATTTCTCACAGACTTTTCTTCAGAAGTCCCCGTGACGCGATTCCGAGTCCTATCGTATTGAAGCTCGGTACCTATGTAGAGCATCCATCCGATTCGCTAGACACGACTCAAAATCAAGCTCGCAAAACCTAGAAACTCGACAAAACCGCTCGATCGATCGAGAATCGCCACCACTTTAGGGTCGAGAAATGCCATAGAACCCTAGATTGTCTTTCCCGCCCAAATTCAAATATCTACATTTACGTATGGGGTAAAAGTAAAGAAAAGTATACGTGTTTGTCGATGACGTGGCGCTCCGCTTTTCGCGCTATGTATCCCTCGTTTTAGGTTTCGTTCGTTCATTTGGATTTGGCGAGGCGATGGGATCACTCGACGATAGCGAAGTTTCAAGCGGGATCATCCCCAGCGAAGTTTTCCCCCTTCTCCACAAGCTCGCCGGGAAGTGGCCGGATGTCTTGGATGCTCTGGACGTGACATGGAGGCCGCTCAAGGGAGCTATGACGAATCACATCTACGAGTGCCAGTGGCCGGGGGGGAGCGGCAGGGTCGGCGAGCAGCAGCGCAAGGCGCTGGTGAGGATTTACGGCGACAGCGTCGACATCCTGTTCAAGCGGGAGGACGAGGTCCGGATTTTCGAATTCGTGTCGCGCAAGGGCCAGGGGCCGCGTCTTCTTGGCCGATTCCCCAATGGCCGAGTGGAGGAATTCATCCACGCCAGGGTTTGTGTCTCCTTTTCCCTTGGCTTTCTTGCAACCGCGATGACGGATTGGAATTTCTTGCAGACGCTCACGGCTGCCGATCTTCGCGATCCTGGAATCTCCGCACGGATTGCGGCCAAGATGTGGGAATTCCATCGCCTGGATTTGCCGGAATCGCACGAGCCTAAGCTGTGGGAGCGCTTGAGGTACACAGCTATAGCCTTACAAACGATCTCTACACTGAGAATTTCGATCGCAGGGACTGGCTCCAAAAGGCGGAGAAGCTATGCTCGCCTCAATCGATGCAAGAATTCCACATGAAGAGATTGGAGTCGGAGATTCGCGAGGCCGAGAGAACCATCCCGGAGCCTGGCGATGTGATTGGGTTTTGCCACAACGATTTACAATACGGGAATATCATGCACAACGATGCCACCGACGCTCTGACCATTATAGTGCGTTTCTTTCAAGGCCTTTTTGCTTGGTGGATCTTCTTTCTCTTCTTTAGTTTTCTCAATCTAATTAACGTTGGTGCTTAACAGGACTACGAGTACGCCAGCTACAATCCCGTGGCGTTTGACATTGCGAATCACTTCTGCGAGATGGCTGCCGATTATCACACGGAATCTCCCCACCGGCTGGACTATGCCAAGTATCCAGGCAAGTACTTTTCGCCTTGTCTCGTCGAGAAAACGAGAGAGAGCATTTTAATTGCGAGAGCTTACACTGTTGCTCTCATTCGGCAGATGAAGATGAGCGGCGAAGATTCATAGAAGCATACCTGGATTCCTCCGGATCAAAAGCGAGTCGAGGAGATGTGGACACGCTACTGCTCCGAGTTGATCTGTATGAACTTGCGAGCCACTTGCACTGGGGCCTCTGGGGAATAATTTCGGTACGTGTTGTCTACTTTTCCTGTGACGTGTCGTGCGTCTGTCTCAGTTTGCTGCTTAAGGTTTTCATCTCACTCTGGAAAAATATCTTTCCTTTTCTACAGGCAGCTATCTCAGACATTGACTTTGATTTCCTCGAGTATGCGAGGCAGCGGTTCCAGCGCTACGATGAGAGGAAGCGTGAATTATGGCCAAGGACAATGAAGAAATATCCTTTAGAAAGTGTATCATATATCTTGAGATCGAAATAAACAGATACAAAATTCCAGCGACTCAGTCACTTCTTGAAGAAGAGCTCCTCCGCTTGCGTTGGAAACAGTGTCAAGAAGAGGTACGCGGCTGGAAAGTTTCATAGTTAGATTCTTTTTTCTTCGGTTCTGACGATTCAGGAAGAAAATCTTACAAACTAAAATGGCCCCAAGGACCACGGAGAATTGGCCTTGGATGGTGACCAGGCCCGCTTTTCCTGCGTCCTGGAGCTGCTTGGGACCCTCTGTTGCGAAAAGATCTGCTTCAAGGGGTACAACTTAAGAATCTTTCTACCCCCTTTTTTTTGTTTTGCTTACCTGGCTTAACTTTTTGCAGCCCATTGTCAATAAATGCCAAGTTTCGGAATCCAGCTTCTTCCAGCTTCTCGGCTGCTTGTCCAGACCTGAAAGAATCAAATGGTCAAGACAAAGAAACGCTCGCCTTCAAGGTAACTTAGTGTATCTCTCACTCTCACCTTAAGCCTTCCTGGCAGACGAGTAACAGCTTGCTGTCTTTAGAAAAACTCCGCTCAACATCAGCGACGAAGTTGGAGTTTGGTTTCGTGAACGCTATTCCGTAAAACAGCCCGGCGAATCCATTGTGCATCACTCGCCTGATCGAGGTACCTGGAAGAATGGAAAGAGCGTCAACTTAAGCCGAGGTAACAGAGAAAAACTCGGAAAAGAAAGCAAGAATTCTTACTGATATCTCCATCGGTGTTCACTGTAAACAGTGGGACGTGCGTGGACGGTTTGATATGCGCTCGATCAAACTGAGACTTATCGCGGACATCGACCACACTGTAGCCTTCCTCCGTGACAAGCTTCTTGGCCTCCTCTCCATCAACATACTTGATTCCAGCGGCCACAATGGCAGTGCTTGTAGCAGCTCTTGCGAGGTAATTGGAGCTCCTCCTCCATTTCATGCTCCTAGCTCTAAAATCCTGTTCCAGATCAATGCGGGCAGCACTGTAAATCCGAAAACTTTACCTCGTGTAGCCTCTCGAGGACGAGCAGCCGCTAGAGAGCGTCCACTGCGAGTGCGTCTTGGCGGCCATAGCCATATCTTTGGCGGTAAATCTGACGTGGCGATTCTTCTAGATAATGTGGTTGGGTTGCTTGCAGACGTAGCAATTCTTTTTATCGTGACGTGGCAGACAATTCGCTGGACAAGTGGCAAAAAACCCCGCGAGAAATTCAAGCTCGGGAGAGAGTTCTTGGAGGAAAGATCAACAAAAATGGACTGCTTTGGAGCGCTGATCGAGTGGGAGCTCCAAATCCTTCTCTTTGGCTACTGCTCTTTGGTGCTCCCGTGCTGCCGGACGCTTTTATTCTACGTGGCCGTGTTTTTCCACTACTCCAAGTTCTTGTCAGCACTCATTTTCAGGATGATCACTCCACCTGGCACCGAGAAAGCCGTAAGTTGGACACATTTAAAAAGAGATCTGACACAGTCGTCTTGGTTGCAGCTGGAAAACCATGTACACTGGTTGCAAAAATCCGTCCAAGATCTGGACGACGACAGCATCGATCTGGAGAGAAAACTGGAAGATCTAGAGCAAGACTACTGGCGCAGCGAGAGATTGCTGAGTAGAGTCATGGCCGAGCGACGAACGCTTGTAACCAGGCTCGAGTACTTGGAGCTGTGCTTCGAGAAGGCCTCCAAACACGACTCTTGAGTCAATCGGTACGAAGTTTTAGCACAAAATCACACGGCAAGTTGTAGATTTCTTGGCTCCTTTCTTACTTTCTTTTTTCCTTCTTCTTACTTGTGTTTGCTTTGTTTTTTTATTTTCTTTCCTCGCGTTGCAAAGATCAAATCAACAGCACGACTTTTCTTTCTTGTGCGGACCTCTGCTTGTGTCAGGTCTGTTGAGTCTCAAGTTTCCAGGCTGAATACAAAGAACCAGCGGTGACAAGTTTAAACAAAACCAGGGAGGAAAAAAAAAAAAAAAAAACAAAACCCGACCTCGGCTTTGGCGTCACTCTCGGCTAATCGCTGCTTGATGTCCCTGGCGATGGTGAAAAACACGTCTTCCACATTTTGGTTCGTCTTCGCGCTCTGCAAGGATTAGAAAAGAGAAGAAAATCTCAGCGCGAGATTTGTCTAGAAAAGTTCTTACTGTCTCGAAGAACTTGATGCCAAACTCATCGGCGAGAGCCTGGCCCTTCTCAGTTGGAACAGCCTACAAGTGGAGCGGACCAAGTCAATTCTCTGCAAGGAAAGGGGAAGAAGAAAAAAACGTGCCCGTTTGCTTTCGTCCATATCCGCCTTGTTGCCAACGAGAATTTTATTCACGTTGTCAGACGCATGTTGCTCAATGTTCCTGATCCAATTTCGTATATCTGGTTAAGGCCAAAAGGTCGGGTTCTTCCTTCTCGCACGTAAGAAAAACTTTGGTACGTACTGTTGAATGACGACTCGTCCGTGACATCGTAAACTAGCAAAATTCCCATGGCACCTCGGTAGTAAGCTGCAAGATCCGAGAGCTTTTAGGCAAAAGGCAAATAAAAGCAAGTGCTGTGTAGCAAGCTAAGCACACCAGTTGTGATCGTTCGAAAGCGCTCTTGCCCAGCTGTGTCCCATATCTGCAGCTTGATCCTCTTTCCATCGAGCTCGATGGTCCTGATCTTGAAATCAATCCTGCCAATCCCAGAGACAGCAAATTCAGTTCATCACAAAGAGAGAAGTAAAAGAGCAAAGAACTCACCCAATTGTCGTGATGAAGCTCGTTGTAAACGAATTATCCGAGAAGCGCAGCAAGAGGCAGCTTTTCCCAACACCTGGAAGCGCATTAGACCATGTAAAAGAACCTACATTCTCATCAAAGCAAGCAAAAACAAAGGGAAAGAACAGGGGGAAAAAAACCAAAAACAAAAGAACCATACCGCTGTCGCCAATGAGCAAAAGCTTGATGAGGTAGTCGTAGTCGGCCCTAGCTCTCCCAGAGCCGCTGGCCATGGCCGCTGCTCACGGACGGGATCAAAACCCCTCGCTCGGGGGCGCAATGCCGCCAAATCAAAGCCCTAAATCCACACAAAACAAGAGATCCGAGTACCAGCGAAGACGACACATCCGTCTCCTCACGATCGCTGCTGGCGATCCATGGCCGATCCACGCCGCGATGCCGCCAAGCCCCTGTCGTCTTTCTCCTACCCTAAATTTACTCTTATATTTTTTGCCCCCACCAAACCTAACCTAACGTCAAGCACGAAACATTCCCCTCCGTACGCGGGAAAAAATAAAGGTGCCCGTACGAACACACGTGGCCCGGCGCCACCACGTCACACGAAACCGCGGAGGACGTGGCGTACCAAACCAGCAGCTGGCGGGGCCGGGCAGGCCACGTCGGGTGTTCGGGCATCCCGGGCAGCGTGGGCGGCTTTCCATGTAAAATCGAATCACATTTTCTTCGCCAATGTGGACAGTGTCATAGGGTCTCGTGTCCTTGTTCTTCTTCGCTCACTCCTTCCTTTCTTTCACCTCGCTCGCCGCCGCCCTTGGCTCGTCCTCCTCGCGCTGGGAGGGTTTGTGGGAATCGCTGCGGAGGCGCCGGGCTTGGCTGGATCCAGCGCGCCGCTGGTCGGATCTACACCACAGCGCCGCTCGCCGCTCGCCGCTCGCCGCCTCGCTTGGGTCCGCGAGATTCCCCCCAGGTAGATTCTGCGAGGCGGCGCGGAGATCTAGAGTAGCGCAAGGGGAAGAATGGCGCAAGAGAGCTGGAAGAGGGAGGAGGAGGCGGCGGGGTGCCAGCTCCCCGAGGGCCCGGTGCTTTGCGCCAACAATTGCGGCTTCTTTGGCAGCGTGGCCACCATGAATTTGTGCTCCAAGTGCTACCGGGAGCAGTCGAGCAGCAAGGCGGCGGCGGTGTCGCCGGCGTCGCCCGCCACCGCCATCGACATCGCCGCGATCAAGGGCCTCCAGGGCGCCGCCACCGCCACCGCCACCTCCACCGCCCAATTCGAGCTCGCCATTGCTGACGAGGCGACCGACCATCTCCAGCTCCAGCCAAGCAAACACCACCACCACGGACACCTCGAGGAAACGATGATCACCACCACCACTACTGCTGCTGCTGCTGCTGCTACTCCAGCAGCGAAAGAAGAAGCTCTTGCCGCCATAGCTACCAGTCGTACTTCTACCACCATCGCCACCGCCGCCACCACCTTGGTAACCGAGGACGATTCCTCGGCTTCCCAGGAGAAGCCGCGGCTGTCAAATCGCTGCCTGGCTTGCCGGAAGCGCCTCGGCTTGACCGGATTCAAGTGCCGCTGCGGGGACGTGTTTTGCTCCATGCACAGGTACTCGGACAAGCACAATTGCTCTTTTGATTACAAGGCCGCGGGGCGCGAGGCCATCGCCAAGGCGAATCCCGTCGTCAAGGCCGACAAGATCGAAAAGATCTAAGCGAGCGAGCGAGCACAAGATCATCAGAGTTTCTAAGGTTGGTTCTTTTCATCCATCGTGTGGCCTTGTTCATAACGAAGAAGATCGAGCAGCGGAGAGGCAGCAAAAGAGAGAAAACAAAAAAAAAAAAAAATGTTGTGAGAGAAAGGAGGTGTTTCTCGATCGATCGAGCTCCACAGCTTGGAGCTCGATCAAATCTCTATTGGTTTTTTTCAAAGTTCTTTTTTCTTTTTTTTACTTCGCTTTCTTTCTCGCTCCTCGCCGCTAAAAGCCTCCTCTCGTTTTCTACTACGTGTGTTTTGGTGGTCCTTTTTTCCTTGGCTCTTTCCATGTAGGAGGTGTTCTTGAGAGTTTTCTTTCTCCCCGCTATGGTTGCGTTTTCGTCGTTCTTTCGGGATCACATATGGCTGGTGGGTGTGCAATTCAATGTAGCTTGATAATTTAATCAAAAACTAGGCCTATAGTAGAATCGAGCCTTCGTTCCATCTTATTTTTTACTTCTTACATCGTATGGTTTTGCTCCACGAGAGCCACTGTCACAGCATAAAAAAAAACGTTTTTTTGTCCCAAGGAAACGAGCTCTCTGCCACGTCCCCTCCAAAATTATTTTTTTCACCATCACCGAGCTTTGAATCCGCCATGCTATGGTACACGACCGAACGAGTCTTCCCCACTTAGAACGAGTTAATTTAATCCGCCGCAGCAGCAACAGTAGCAGCAGCGTCACTCCAAAACTTTCGTTGTCAAGACAGACTGATGATCTGATATCGCCTTGTTTCCTTGCGGGAGAAGCGAGATTTTGCCGCTCTCTCCCAGTGTAAGTACCGCCCTGTGTTCCTTTCCTCCGATGTTCTTAAGCCTCTTAAGTTGTGTGTGTGTGTTTACCCGGTTAGTAGCTGCTCCATGGCACTCAAAGGGGCGCCTGGGATGCCCCCGGGAACTCGCTGGGGATGGAGAGGAGCAACCCCGACGTTGATCAGGAGTTGTGTCAACCATCGCCGAGTTCCAGCATCCTCCTGGAAGAAAACTTGATCTTACGCTCGAAACGAAAAGTCTCAAAGCTCTTGCTTACCCGTAAGCAATTGCTGAAGGTGTTGTCGCGGAGATACTCTGGAAGGCACGTCTTTAACGCCTCACAAGCCCTGTGCCGGCCAACGCGAGAGGTTACAAAACGTCAAATCCAAATCCAGGGCAAAAGAGGTACCTGGGATTGTCTGATAGACGGAGATAGCAACGTATGATGTGCTTGAGCAGGCGAGACGACGGTGTTTCTGCAAGAGCCTGTACCATGTTTCCTAAAACTGCACTCACGGCGAAGAATCTCTCGGCCGTTGCACAAATGTATGCGAGCCCTACATCATCCAGCAGAATCTTCTGGACGATGAAAGTCGCGACCTGCAGTGACGGAGCAACATTTCAGTGCTGGAGTAGCAGGAGAAAACTTTTTTAAAAAAGAGAGAGAACCGTCTTGGAGAGCTCGCTGCCCATCTCCATAGTACGCAGGCAAAGTGGGATGATTTCAGTCGACAGCAGGAAGTTGATCACGTCAGTATCATCAACCTGCAAGAGGTTCGTGTGTCATCCATCGCACGAAAAGAACCACTTTAGAAGAGTCGCTTGCTTACCTTTACTAAAGCACCGATAACGCCAAGGCTAGTGAGACGCAAGTACTCAAATGGTCGCGACTTGCTGACGGTGTTCAAGAAAGGATACAAATACAATGGAATATGTGCTGCAAACAACGACCGCACCAAAGTCACGAGACGAAGAACACGATCGAAAAGTTGTTTGGGTCTCACCGTTGAGAAAGAGGGTCCGCGTTTCCGGATGCGAAGCCACGCACTGGACACAAAACATGGTCGTGAGGATTGATACATTGTCACCGAAGTGAAGAGAAAAACAAGAGCACAGACCTGGAGAAGAGCCAGAGCGTTGCAAACGCGATTCGAAGCACCAGCCGTCAAGGTTGGAGGCGAAAGCATTGGATAAATAGATACAATCTCCTGTAGGTAGTGTTCTAAGAGCTTACAAACTAGAAGAAGTAGAAGAAAAAAAAAAAAAACACAAAACCACACCTGCAAGAGCCCCGCGATTGTCCCGCACGAGTACCACAGCATCGGAGCGAGCTCCTGGAAGGATTCCCTCTTCTGCAACAAGCCATGGAGCTCAGAATCCCGGAGGAGAAGAATGCCGGCGCAATCCAATCTTACCTTGGACAAATCCAGGAGCGCGTTCTCCCGCTGCTCCGGGACGATGAGCTCCAGCACTAGCTGCTCGGCGGTGGCCATCTCGCGCCGCCTGTCCAGCATCGCATTCGCGGCCATCTCCCCAAACCCTACTCCAGCGTTTCCTCCCAGCATAACACAAACCCTTGGAGAGTGTCCAAGTTGTCTACTACTTGAAAAAATTTAGGCCATGGCCCATTCTCATCTTAGGGCTCCCGGGCTGCGAGACAGCGATGGCGCTAGCGTCTGGCGATGTAAGGAAGAAATATCTCTCGATCTCTCGCATTTTTCGCTAGATCTATAGCAGCATTTGCGTAATTTGCATCCAGGGAGCTTGGTCGCTGTTTGGATCCACGCGCCTGTCCAAAGGCCTGGCGCTGGTATTTGCGACGGGGTATGTTCTAGCGCTTGTTCTTCCCTGGACTGTGGAGTACCTCGCATTGGTTCCCGGGAGGTGAGGAATTCTATCTTGCTTTGCTTCTTTCGTGCTGACGGTCTGGGATCCATTCGCCAGAACTATACCATTCGCGTGGAATGTTGTCACTGCCGGTTACTTCGAGCACACTTTTCTGGGTGTAAGTAAGCACAGTGCTAGGACTTTTCGTCGATTCCAGTCACTGACACTGGCTTCTACCTTGGATCATTGCAGCTTGTTTCTAGTGTTCTTGGGATCGTCTTCTTCGGGAAATTGCTGGAACCTATATGGACTTCGAGAGGAATGTCCCTGTTCATCATCCTTGTCAATTTCTTCACTACGATCACCACTTTTGCCCTCTCGGTGTTCTTGTACTACGTTACGAGCCAGGGGAAATACTTGTGAGTTTTTGTTCTTTCTTTTCTCTCCGGTTTTGAGTCGTCGTCTTTCCTTTCAGGTATGTGCCAATCTCTGGATTCTCTGGAGTGCTTGCAGGGTTTCTCGTTGCGGTGAAGCAACTTATGCCCGATTACGAGCTCCCAAAAATCAAGCTACGTGCAAAGGTGTTCTCTGAATATCTTCTAGAACTATAGAAGTTGAAACGTCTGTCTGGCTTTTGTGCAGTGGTTTCCATCCTTGCTCGTCGCATTCTTTGCAGTACTCTACTTGGTCGTCCCGGATGCGTTCCTCGCTGCCCCTTACATCATTCCTGGAACTTATATCAGCTGGATTTACTTGCGATACCATCAAACCAAACCCGAGGCCAAGAACGTGAAAGGCGACTCCAGCGACGAGTTCGCGTTCTCGACTTTCTTCCCGCAGTTCATGAGGTAACTGAGAATCACGCAACCCATCTTTCATTCACTTCTGGTTTTGATTTTCCATCAGGCCAGTCGTGCATCCAGTTGCGACGTTTTGCGACAAACTTTGTTGCGGGCGTAGGAATCAAAGCACTGCAAACTTGGAAGACGATCGTGGGGATGGCAGTGGACCTCTACCTGGATCGGATCCGATCGAAGCCTCAAGACGAAGGTAAATCAGATTTCTCATAGTGGTGGAGTTCTCAGGAAGTTCATTTCATACAGGGAACGCGGGGCTCGAGCGCTGGAAGAGAGGCTAAACGATAATCCCAGGGAGAACGATAACGCGAACGCCGCGGAGGAGAATGTATAGAATGGTGGTAAGAGAATCGCGAAAGAGAGTAGCCTACACATGATTTAGATCTCAGTGCCGAGAATTTGGCAAGAAATTTTACTTGAGAGGAGCTAAGAAGAAAGAAAAATTTCCTGGAAACTTGGCACTATCATCGCAAGACCCATAGCTTGATGATCTTGGGACGAAAGAAGAATTGGATCTTCCCATCGGTCACTCGGAGCTACTCATCTCTGCGAAGCGCCCTCGTCCAGGGCCTGCTCGATCGTGCAGAGGCAGCGCAAGATCACGACGAGCGCTGCGATCTCCTGGCCAGCGCGATCCGGGAATGCGGCACCAACACAAATGCCCACGATGCCAATCTCCTCCACCAGCGCATCCTCGCGATCGGCCTCGGCCGCGAGAGACTTCTCACAAATCTTACCATAGAAATGTATGGCAAGCTCGGGGATCTCTCGCGAGCGATGGCGGCGTTCCAATCCATTGCCAATCCAAACGCTTTCTCGTGGACGATTCTCGTGGTAGCATTTGCCCAGAATGGGCATTTTCTCGAGGCACTGTTCTTCTTCCGGAAGATGGAGCTGCAAGGGATCAAGCCCACGATCTTCACCTGCGCGGCGGTGATCGGCATCGCCGCGAGCTCGCGAGACCTCGCGCTGGGGCGATGGATGCACGCCAGGATCGTCCACCAGGGCCTCCGGATCAACGCCGTGGTGGAGAACAGCCTCGTCAACATGTACGCGCGATGCGGCAGCCTCGGCGACGCGATGGAGGTCTTCGATGCCATGCTCGATCGCGGCGTGATCGCGTGGACGTCGCTCATCGCGGGGTTCGTCCAGCGCGGGGATCACGCCCGCGCGCTAGGGCTCTTCCGGGCTATGGCGCTCGAAGGAGTCATGCCAAACGATATCACGTTTAGCTCGGTGCTAGATGCGTGCTCCGGCGCTGGCGATCTCGCCCAGGGCAGGATCGCGCACGCCCAGATCCTCGAATTCGCCGCTGGAGCGATCGATCCCGCCACTGGCGCCGAGATCGTGGCCATGTATGGGCGATGCGGTAGCTTGGGCGATGCCGAGCGCGCCTTCCAGACGATCGATCGCCCCGATCTCGGTCTCTACAACGCGATGATCACGGTCTACGCCCAGACCGGCCGCGGCGATCGCGCGCTGGAGCTGATCCAGCAAATGCGCGCACGCGAGATCGTTCCCGACGAAGGGAGCTTCGCTAGGGTTCTTAGCTCGCTCCACGACCGCGCCACGCTGGAGCGCGGCCGCGCGATCTATCTGGAGCTCGCGGCGGCGGGATCACCGCTGGGAGTGGTGCTCCAGACCTCGATCGTGAAGATGTATCTCAACGCCGGGTGGATCGACGAGGCGGCGGAGATCTTCTCGCGGATGGAGTCGCGGGACATGTTCTCGTGGACAGTGATGATCACAGCGCTCACGGAGAGGGGGCGGGGAAGAGAAGCGCTGGATCTCTTTCGCCACACGCGGCTCGAGGGCCTGGATCTCAATCGCGTCGCGCTGATCAGCGCGCTGGACGCGTGCGCGAGCCTGGGATCGATCAAGGAGGGCGCGCACATCCACCAGGAGATGATCGCGGCGCTGGGGATCAGTCCGGACGCGGTGCTTGGATCCGTGCTTGTCAATCTCTACGGCAAATGCGGGAGCCTCGCGGTCGCGAGCGAGATCTTCGCGGCCATCCCGCGCAAGGACGTGGTGTGCTGGAACGCCATGGCGGGAGCTTACGCGCACCACGGCCGCCACGCCGCCGCCGTGGAGATCCTCCGCGCCGCCGCCTTGGACGCCATAGCGCTCTCCCAGGTGAGCTTCCAGTGCCTCTTCTACTCGTGCAGCCACCAGGGCCGCCTCCGCGAGGCGCGCGAGAATTTCCACTCGATGATCGGCGATCACGGCGTGGATCCAAGCGACGAGCACTTTCGATGCATGGTGGATCTCCTGGCGCGCGCTGGGAAGATCGATCGCGCGGAGGAGCTCATCGCCGCCATGCCCTACGAGCCGGTGGAGGTGGCGTGGACGATGATCCTGGGCGCGTGTAGGGTTCATATGGACGTCGTACGGGCCAACCGCGTGGCCGCCATGGCGCTCGGCCAGCCATGTACGGACGTGGAATCTCCCTACATTCTCCTCTCGAATATGCTCTCGGATGAACAGGAGCTGGCGCTTTAAATCTTCTTCCTTGTTCTTGCGCGTGGGGATGGATTGTTAGGGTTTGTGGATCCGGGGCGGATGAACGAATGCGGCGGCGCCGGCGGCGGCGCCAGCGCCAGCGCCATGGCGGAGATTTCACCATTGCGATCGCTGCTGCTGTGGAAGAGGCCAGGGTTATCGGCGCTGGTGCTCGCTTGCGGCAGCCTCCTGTATTACCACTGCACGGCCAGGAATTGCAGCCTCGTGTCGCTGGCCTGCGACGTTGTCATCGTTCTGGTCTCGTCGCTCGCGATTCTGGGCCTGGCGTTCCGGAATTTCAACATCGCGTAATTTTTCTTTGCGATGATACAAATCACTTTGGCTACTCCTCGCACGATTGTTTGTCTCCTTTTCTTAGAGCTTGAAGAACTCATCGTTTTCTCTTCCAGGGTCCCGGTCGATCCTCTCGAGTGGCAAGTCTCGCAAGAGTGTGCAACCTCCATCGCGGCATGCATTGCCAATACGGTTGGCGCTACTGAGGGAGTCCTCCGAGTGGCAGCTAGTGGCTCCGATTACAAGCTTTTCTTCAAGGTACTTCTTCCTTCTCTTTTGCTTGACAACCCGTCTCCGTGACCTCTATGATCGTATTTGTTTCTTGCCATTGCCTTTGCCTTGACAACATCTCATTGATCTCTATGATCCCAGGTTGTGGTTTTCTTGTACTTGGCAGCTGCTGTTGGAAGAGCAGCCTCGGGAGCCACAGTCACATACATAGGTTCTCGGCAAGCTTACCTTTTATTCTTTGCTAAGATCCGTTCCTCGCAGCGTTCGTGGCAGCTTTCATCGTACCGCTACTAGTTCACAAGCTCAAACCAAAGGTTTTCTCCCAGCGACGAGACTAGCTTGCGGGAAGCTTTTTCTATCAGCCTCTTAACTGCCTCAGGCTCAGGGGATTTACATCGTTCCCGGCAAAGAACTTCCATCACAATCGTCCCGGCGGGAGTTCTCTATACAGATCACTGTGTTAGTTTACAGGAGAAGGAAAAATTTGGGTGTCTATCCCATTCTGGATCCAGGAGGAGACTGGATTGGCGACGCAGCAGGCAGTTTCATTCCTGGAGGACTGCCGATGGCGGCTTTTGGTTCTGCTGGTGAGGCCGCTTGTGACTTCTTGATCACTGCCAAGCGCTGTTTGTGGACGTCGCTAGCTACCTGCAAATCTCCATCTTGTTAATACACTGAAAAAACGAAGATTGCGCTTACGGGTTTCTTGTACGTTCTGTACTCTTCGCCACCAAAGCCCGGAAGTGTGATTCGCCAGTTCCTCTCTGCAAATCCAGAGTTAAAGTTACTCCCTGTGAGAGAGCTCGGCCGTACCTAGATGCAAAAGCACGTCCTTGGCTTCCAAAACCGTAGATTTTCTATGCTTTGCAAGAGCACAGGCGAACGTCGTCACCTGATTCCACCGAATGGAAGAGGAAGATTAGAAGGCTTCCAGCAAAAATGTATTGCTGTATACCGTTTCGATGAAATCGTCGGCTATCTCCAGCAAAGCATCCTCCACTTCCGGCTCAAGCTTCTCTTTGGCATCCACCTGAAAGAAAAGGAAACGGAATGAAAAGGTTTGTCACAAGCGAGAAGAAAGCATTGCATGTACCTGCGTGACAAGCTCCTGAATGCTCCGCTTGCCCAGGATTCTGTTGGTCGGCTCCGGTGGCTGGTTAACTGGCGCCGGTGTTCCAGCAGCCTGAGGATTAAAATTGGCACCCGGGGACACTAGAGGCCTCTGGAGCTGTCTTAATTGCTGCTGCTGCTGTTGAAACTGCTGTGGAGATAATTGCTGGACTGGCCTCAAGTGCTGATACTGCGCAGCGGAAAGCTGTTTGGACCACGGTTGCTGCTGCTGCTGTTGCTGTTGCTGTTGCTGTTGCTGCTGCTGCTGCTGCTGCAGGGGCGTTTGCATCTGATAAGCAAGCTGTGCAGGAGATGGCGCTCTTGCAACCTGGCCGGATTGCAACCTCTGAAGACCATGATCAAAACAAAGATGTGTGTTATCATCCGTAAAGGAAAAACTCGCATCTACCTGAGGAGAAGTTAGCTGCTGCTGTGGCTGTTGTTGCTGCTGCTGCTGCGCACGTACGTTGCCTTGTGCTCGTTGCGCTTGGAGCATTCCGGAGGGTCTCCCGAGAGGACTCATCATCTGGTGCAGCCCCTGAATCCCTGCTGGCTGGAATTGTGCTTGCGCTTGCTTTTGCCTCACCTGCTATAAGAGAGTTCCAAATCAGGACGATCAATATTAAGGCAGTGAATCACAAACTTGCAAAGAATAAGAACTACCAAAGTACCTAGTGAAAAAAAAAAACAGAGGGAGAATTCGGGAAAAACACAAGAGAAAAAAAAAAGGAAAGAAAGAACACTAAATAGAGAAAAATGGAAGAACTTACTTGCATTGTTGAAGCCTGGCCATTGAGCATGGATGGATGCCGCAATCCCTGCTGCGTCATGTACTGCTGCATGTTGGTGGTCTGCGAGGGATACATGGAAGATCGAATCGCGGTGGCGCTGAGAGCGCTGGCTTGCTGCTGCTGCTGGATGGTCTGCCCATTCTGCGCGGCCATCTGCTGCGGCCTTTGCTGCGAGCTTATCCTCTGCGCAAGCTGCTGCTGCATGGAGGTGGCGGCGGCGCCACCACCGATGGGCGACGACACCGCTTGCGAGTAGACGTTGCTGGTGGGCGCCGGCGCCTGGGAAGGCCTCCCAGCAGCCACGCCGCGAGGAGCTTGCTGCTGCTGTGGAACCATCACCCTCTGCCGCATCTTTTGCTGGTAGACCGCGTTCTGGATGAGCTGCTGCTGCTGCTGGGGCTGGAGCGACGAGAAATTCTGACCTGGAGGCTGCGATCCCACCGCGGGATTTTGCTGCTGCCCGGCCATCAATCCTGGCGATCCCAGTCCCCCCACTGTTGTGGCCGCCTGAGGGATCGGAACGGCCGATTGCGTCGCGACTGGGAGCTGAGATCCAGGCGGCGGCCCTGATCCAGAGGCAGCCGGCGATGGCGCTGACGCCGAGGCAGCCGATCCTACCGTTGCTGGAGCTGCGGATGATGGGATTCCGCCGCTGGATTGCTGTGTCGCGGGAGGAGGAGCTCCATCGCTGGGCGCGCTCGCCATGTCCGCCTCGCCAAGCCCTAGAATGGGGCCAGAGCTAAATATTTTGCCATGGAATTAGGGCATAGGCTCTGAGAAGAGAAATTATGGAATGTGGGTCGAAGGAGCGCCTCCTCGTCCCGCAAGATCTCGAGCATGGCGATGAATTGCAAGAAGAACAAGGACGAAGCTCCTTCTTCCAAGCGCTTTTCAACAACGTAGGAACTCTCGTTGGTAATTATAGCTCCTTCCTTCCTCGATTGCTAGCTCTTCTCGATTGCTCTCTGCTCTTCCTTTTCCCGGAGAAATTCCAAAAGTTCCTCCTCCTCTTCTCGAATTTCTCCTGTCTCTCTTCGATTAATCGCTTGCTTCTTCCAGGTCTGGGGATGCTCTCGTGTCCATACTCTCTCCACAATGGCGGATGGCTCGGCCTGATCGTCCTCTTCTCGTGCGGCGCAATCTTTTGCTACACGGCCTACATCCTCGCCCGATGCCTTGGAAGCAAACCTGGAACATCCACCTTCCAGCAAGTCGGAGCTCTGGCGTTCGGAAGAACCGGGCGGATCTTCGTCGCCGCGATCGTTGACTTGGAGATCCTGGGAACGCTGGTGGGCTTCACAATCTCGTTGCGTGACAACTTAGTCAGGATCTTCCCACACGCAGGTGTCCATCTCCCGTGGCTGGAGCTCGCGCCTACGCAGTTCCTCCCCATCGCCGGCGTGCTCGCGGTTCTTCCGATCATCTGGGTGAGAGACTTGAGCTGGCTCTCGTATGTCTCGCTGGGTGGAATCGCAACTTACTTGATCATCGTCCTGGGAGTTCTCTGGGCCGGGATAGTCGACGGGATTGGATTCCACCACTCGATCGCGCTCGTGAATCCGACAAAGCTCGCCGAAGTCGCTGGCCTCTACGCATTTTGCTACTCGGGACACGTGATCCTTCCCAGGATCTACAGCTCCATGAAAGATCCATCGCAGTACCCAAAGGTGACGAACTTTCTCTTTAGAAGCTCTCCATTGATCGGGAAAAGTTCTAAAGAACCATTTGATCGTCTCATCTCGCAGGTGGCTGCTCTAAGCTTCTCCATCGCGACGCTGATCTACGCGGTGGTGGCGATCGCTGGCGCCACCATGTTTGGCTCCTCGATCCAGTCCCAGGTGACTCTCAGCCTGCCCAAGGAGCTCGCGGTGGCCAAGCTGGTGCTGTTCCTGATGGTGCTCATCCCTCTCACCAAGTACGCGCTCGTCGTCAATACCCTGGCGGTACACATGGAATCTCTCATTCCGTCGCCACCATCGCTCTCCGGCGGCGGCGGTGGCGGTGGCGGAGCCTGGCGGAGCTGGAGCAGCGTCTCGGTGAGGAGCGCGATCATGGCGGTGGTGCTGCTGCTGGCGCTGGCGGTCCCGGCGTTCGAGACGACGGTAGCGTTGATCGGGTCGGGCATCAGCGTTACCACCTGCGTCATCCTCCCAGCCATCTTTTTCGTGAAGATCTTCGGTGCCCGGGGGGCACCCCGGCACGAGCTCACGTTGACTGTGATATTCGGCGTGGCCGGTGTGGTGCTGGGCATTGTGGGAACCGTCTCGTCCATTAGAAAGCTCGCGCGTTGACCATTCAGTGTCCGTTGACTAGTAGGATTGACTAGATTTGACTTATATGGACTGATTGACTTGACTCCTAACGGTTATTTTTAGAGATATCGTTTACTAGAGTTGACTAAAGACTGACTAGAGTTGACTGTAGCTGGACAGGCGACAACATGATTTTGTCCTATGCGAGGATCAACCAGGGGAGGGAGAGTGCCCAGGGAACAAGAGAGGAATTAACGTAAAGAGCGTCTTTCCTAGGTATAGTACTAGTAGTAATCTGTACACTAGCTACTATAAAGCTCGCTCGCCTCGTAGAGTAGCTATGCTATTTCTCCTTTTGCGAAGAAAAACAACCAACATTGTCAAGACCAATCACGTCAAACAAATCGCCGAGATTCCTCCTTCTCGTCCAGATCGGTCATTCCTTCCCTTCTCGTCTAAATCGATCACTGTTGTAATGGATGTGTGGAGCGATCCCTCCCTACCCTCGATCGAATCGATCGAGCAGGCCGGCACTGGCGATCGATCGCTCATGGGGATTGCCGGGACGATCGCATCGCCGCGGCGGACGAGAAGGAATCCCTGCTGCAAGCGCTGGCGGTGGCTCTGCTGCTGCTCCTCCTGCCCGGCGAGGAAGAGGACACTGACAATGGCGTCATTGCCGCGGGAGGAGCGTCGCTCGACACAGGCACCGGCATTGGCAGCAGCGGTGGCGATGGCGGCGATTCGTACGACAATCGCGGCGGCCGCGGTGGTGGCGGTGGCCTCGCCCATATCTGGGGGCGATCGGGCGACGAGGGCGGCGTGGAGAATGCTGGAGACGATGGCGGCGTCACGAATGGCGTCGCGGAGGACATCTCTTCCTCTTCCTCGATCACATCCACCACCGCGGCTGCCGGGAGTGGGGGACGATCCACCGCGAGAGAAATCTCTGTCACCGCCGCTGCTGGGCGATGATCGCCCAAGTCCTGATCTTCCGATGCCCCAGACGAGGAGGAGCTCCCAGATTCCTCGCACGACGACGAGGAGCAAACGTGGAGAAGCCCTCTCTCGCGCTCGCGGACATCCGGAACGTCGGGCTGGATCACCTCCACCACGACGTGCCCGGCACAGCCGCGCTTGAGCCGGATGGACGAGGATTTGAGCGCGTCCTCGGCGGAGTCCACGAGATCCTCCCGCGCCTCCTCCTTGATCGTGAAGAGCAGCCTGGGCGGCGCAAGAACACACTCGCCCCCATCCAGCATCATCCCAATCTGCGATCCAAGCCCGCGGCTCTCGAACATCTTGGCCACGAACGCCGTCTCGGTCGATCCTCCTCCTCCTCCTCCTTCCCCCATAACCACCTCTGGTCGAGAAGGATCATTCGGCGCGACGCTGGCGCTCGTGACGCGCGAGCTCGCAATGAGAGATCTGCGCTTCCAGAAGAGGAGATAGTAGAGCTCCGCCAGTAGCAGCACAAGAAAGACGCCAAAGACAATGCTAAGCCCGATTCCAAGCGCTCCAACGGACGCCATAGCCGGAGCTCTTTCTTCCCTCACCTCCAAGATCCTCGATCAAAGAATCCACCGCCAATCCGCTGGAATGCTCGCCGCCTCCATCCCCAATGGGCCGAATCCCTCCTCCCAAGAGCAGCACGCCAGTGGCGCGGCGCCTCCTCTCTCCCTCCCTCTCTCTCTCTCTCTCTCGCGAGAAGAAAGAAAGAACAAAGGACCAAGAACTCACAGAGAGCGTCGAGCGTCGAGCCAGGGAGAGAGTTTGAAAAGATTAAAAGAAAAAACACTTTTTTAACGCGCTTCGTTTCAAGATTTTGTGTTGGCAGGATTCGAACCCCACGTCGGCGCGTCCATTCAAATATAGATATTTGTTTAGTCTGGGCTTAGCACGCTCTACTAAATCAAGCGTAGCGATACTTTGGCTAGAAACCAATCATCTTAAAATGCAGTTGAGGGGGACATCATTCGTGTGACATGTCTGGCCAGCTGAGCTGGCACCACTGTCTGCTGACACGGCGTCAGCATCCCTCTCACAAGATTATTCCCGAACATATTCCCTCACGTCACGCCCTTGATGACCTTTATCAAATAAAATCTAAACCATGGAAGAGATAAATGATCATTATATCTACGAAGTTATTTCGCGGGAATTCCATGATTTTTATGCTATGGAGCTTGTTGTACCCACTTCCAAAAATGTTTCCTCACGCCCACCGCGCCGCCCAGGCAGCTGGTAGCAGTCGCGGTTCTTCCACTGGCGACCACCAACACCGCCGCTCCGCCACCGCCACCGCTGCCGCCGCCACCGCCATTCCCATCCTCGTCCTCCTCCGTGTCAAAGTCCGTTTGAGGGAGCTGCTTGACATGCGCGGTGATCGTATGGATCACGTACCTGGTCGAGAGCCCCGGATAGGAGAAGGACTCCCGCTCCTCCTCCACTCTCTGGTAGCTCTCGCGCAGCAGCGCCACCTGATCGATCGCGCAGCCCAGCTCCTCCGAGATCCCGCGCAAGCACGCCTCCTCCACGCTCTCGCCGGGCCGCATCTTCTCCGAGAGTGGCCGGTTCCTGGGCCGGATCCTCCCGTCCGCCATCTCCTGGTACGCTTCCACCAGCATCTCGCCGCTCTCGTTCACGATCTGGACGCTCGCGACGTGAACAGTCCGCTTGGGCGGGCGCGAGTCCTCGAGGGAGATCTCGCCCTCCAGGAGCTCTCGCCATAAGTTGGCGACGCGCTTGGTTCCTGGAGCTGTTCCCCAGAGATCCAACTGAGCGCCACCCTGCGGGAGCCTCTCCTTGAGCCATGCGTAGAACTGGTCGAGCGAGCCGGAGAAATCCTCGGCCGTGACGCAGCGGCTGGACGGAGCGCACAGCTCCGCGACTGGATCCATCTTCACGTCCGCCATGTCGCCGCTGGGATCGCCGAGCGAGGGGAAGATCACGGCGAGCAAACCGTCCAAAGTGGAGCCGATCCTGCCGAAGCCCGCGTAGAGAAGCTGGCTCAACACCTCGTCCGCCGAGTCGAGGTCGTGGGCAGCCGGGATGGACGTCGGGCAGACGTGGATCAAAGGCAGCTCGCTCAAACTCTTGTGGAGATGGATGCCTGACGTCGAAGAACTCTCGCCCAAGAGCGGGCTCTCCTCCTGCTGGATCACTATCCGGAAGAACTCGGAGAAGCTATTCCAAATTCCCGTGCCAAACGAAGCGCTCGACCCTTGGTCTTCCAAGATTGCATTGCATTTGCCAGCCCGTCGATGCGATCTATGCCGGGCAAGCGACGATGACGAAGAATCTAGAATGAAGACCTTGTGAGAACCGGAAGAATGAGAAGCACCACGCTTTGCCCTGATGCTCCACCCAAGAAAACCCCCATGACGATTCTGGCTACTACACACTACTACACTCCCTATCAATCCTACCCTGTTGCTTCCTCCTGCGGCTACTCCTGGGGAATTTGACACAGATTTCTGCGAAGCAACGACTCCAGTCTCCAATCGACAACTAGAACAAGCTACGAACCTCATTGCGGAGCGATCTGTGCTAATCCATGCGCCGAAGACCGGCGCCGCTGCGCCAAAGAGCTTTCCAGGGATCGATCGATCGCCCAGGAAGAACAAAATCGAGCCCTCCTCGCTCTCTCTCTCTCTCTCTCTCTCTCCTCTCCCCAGCAAAACTATCGCCCTATCGCCTTTAGAAATACAGCCTATTGCACTTTGCCACGTGGACAGCGAACTATCCGCATTAAGTGTGGTGTGTGAACGGCACACGTAGTCCAACAGAATGCAGCCACGTACGACACCGTATATTCCAAAACTGCGAAGAACATCCACTGTTCTTATTTTCTCTCTAGTGGCTCTACTTTGCAACTTCTCTATGGCTCGATCGATCCACCGAAGAAAAGAGGCTGAAAGCTATGTTGACATCTCCACTGGCTGCGTCTTGAAAGCTTCCTGCGCTAAAACTCTCGCGGAGTTTCCCACAGCCTGCTCCATTCTCGAGTACCACGCACCGATCTTGGAGTTTGCGATCATGTCGTTCCCGGAGTCGAGGTTCCTGATGGGCCTCAAGACTCCAAACACCGCAAGGTCGGCGAGATTTGGCTTAGATCCACCTGAGAAAACATCTCAAAGTCTTGGTTTCCGAGGTTTCCGAAGAGAGGAGCTTGCTTACCCATGAAACTCCTGTTGTCCAGAGCCTCCACCCACGTATTAGCGGCTTCGTAGAGGGCGGCGCGTTCGTCTGTGATGTTGTGACGCTTCTTTAGACGCTTGGAGATGAAGTACATTGCCGCTGCTCCAGCGTACTTGGCCGTGGCTCGCTCCCAAGCAGTGAAGTTACCTGTGAGGAAAATGGTGACAAGATGAAAACTTGTGGCATTAGAAAGGATGGAAAAAATCACCTTCGCGAGTGATGTAGTCGAACGCTTGCAGAGCCTCTTTGGTCGATCGATAAATGTTTGGCGAGAGCAAATGAACAAGGTGACCGTCCACCCATCTGGAAATTTAGTTTTTTCCTGACGGTGAGAATCGTCCAGCACGACGAACCATAGATTTACTTACTTCCTCCATTTCTCTTCCTCTTCCTTGGCTGCTGCTGTAAGAGCCGGCGACCTCTTTGGATTGAGCTTTCCATCGAGAGTGCTGATAATTTCTAGAGACAAAACACGAAGAACAATTAAAAGAGAGGAAGAACAACACAAATCCACAAGAACTTTACCAGTCGAGTCATTCATTTGCTCGCCATCTACCATAAGGATTGGAACTTTCTTATACTCCGACCACGCAATCTCCTTCTTGCCTAGAGGATTCACCTCCACAATGCGGTATGGAACGTCATAGTAGTCGAGAAAAGCTGGGAAAGAAGAAGAACGAAGAAGAAAATTTCTAGGGCTCCTCAATCTCTCACACTGCAATGGAATCCAAATCGACTTGGCGTACCTTTCACCTTGTTGCAAAAGGGGCAGGCCTCGTATTGATACAAGATCACCTCCTTTGGCATGCGATCGGTGGGAGGCCTCTCCTTGGCCGCCGCCACGCTCATCATCGACGCCGCGAACGATACCGAAGCTGCCGCTCCTGCTGCCAATCCCTTGGCGACCTTCCAATTCTCCCTCCTGCCCCTGGCGCCATCGTCGAGGCTGGATGATCCCGGGGACAAATGCGCCGCCGCAAAGAATCCCCGCGCGCTCGCCTGGAAGCCCTGGCGACCTAGAATATCCGTGGCGCCTGTGATCTGCCGGAGGAATCTCACCCGGGCGATAGTCGCCATCAAACGAACCAAAACACTCTTGCCCTGGTTCTTGAGTGTTCGGGAAAGAGAATATTCTCGGATGAATATTCTCCCCGAAAGGCGGTGTATCTTCCAGCGGGAAAAAAGAGATTTTAGGGTTCTAGGTAGAGCTTGAGTCGCGGACAATGCATTTGCAGCAGCCAAAATCGGGGGTGAGTAGCCTCGGCCATCTCGTGGCGGCACTGAAATCTTGCGGCAGCTCCAGGGATTTGGAAAGAGGTCGGATCCTCCACTCCGATGCCGCCATCCCCGGGGACGACTCCATTCCATTCGTGGCCAACACGCTCATCAGCATGTACTCCAAGTGTGGCGCCATGGCCGAGGCTCGCGCCGTCTTCGACAAGATGCCCCACCGCGGTATCGTCTCCTGGACGGCTTTGATGCTGGGCTACACGGACAGTGGCTATGGCGACACGGCCCTGGAGCTCTTTGAGGAAATGCAGGCCCACGGCTGCCAGCCCAACGCTCGAGCTCTCGTTGCGGCGCTCAAGGCTTGCTCCAGCGTCGCTGCCAAGGAGGAGGCCCAGCGCGTCCATGGAAAGCTCGTGAAACCGAGCTCGCTCCACAAAGGTATGGCGCTTCACTCGAAAGCTTCCGAGTGTGGGTTTGACACTGATGGTTTCGTGACTAGCAGCTTGATCGCCATGTATATCAAGTGTGGGAGCCTGGAGGAATCGCGCAGGGTTTTCGAGGGGATCAAGCACCCGGACAAGGTCTCTTGGACGTCGCTCATGGCCGGGTATGTCGAGAACAAGCAGGAGGAGATGGCTTTGGAGTTGCTTGCACGGATGGAAGCTCGAGACATGGAAGCCGACGCTGTGACTTTCGTGACTGCGTTAAACGCTTGCGGCAGCTTGGCAGCCAGGGAGGAGAGAACTCTAGCCGGAGATGGGAGCTTTGTGAGATGGAGAGCTCTGGAAAGAGGCAGGGACGTGCATGCTCGAGCTGCGAGTCTTGGATTCGACTGTGACGTCCGGGTGAGGAACAGTCTGATCGACATGTATGGAAAGTGTGGAAGCATGGTGGATTCCAGGAGGGTCTTTGATGGGATGCCGTGCCATAGCTTGGCTTCTTGGACTTCTTTGATGCTCGGGTATACAGACAGTGGACAGGGAGAGCTAGCTTTGGCACTGTTCGACCAGATGAGAAACTTCCAGCCAGACAAGCTCGTCTTCGTCGCCGCTCTCAAGGCCTTGACGAGCGTGGCCGCCAGAGAACAAGCCCGGGAAGCCGATGGAAAGCTCGTGAAGATCGCTTCTTTGGAGAAAGCAAGAGTGATCCATTCGCAAGCGTCGAGCCTTTGCTACGACTCGGACTTGTTCGTGGCCAGCCGCCTGGTAGACGTGTACGCCAAGTGTGGGAGCTTGGAAGAAGCTCGCCAAGTTTTTGACAGTGCTCCTCGTCGAGATGTTGTGCTGTGGACGTCCCTCATCCTTGGCTACACCGAGAAAGGCCTGGAAGAAACCAGCCTAAGTCTCTTCTTTCGGATGCAAGACGAAGGATGCAGTGCCGATACACCCAGTTTTCTCGCTGCTCTCGCCGCCTGTGCCAGTCTTGCGATGAAAGAAGCTGGCCGAAAGATCGATGGGAAGCTAGTCAAGCTTCAAAGTCTTGAAAACGCGATGCTGGTGCACTCTCGAGCACTGGAAGCCCGGCTTGACACCGAAACCTTCCTGGCCAACACGCTGGTGGACGTCTACGCAAAGTGTGGGAGTGTTTTGGATGATGCTCGCTTGGTTTTCGACACCATGCCTTGCCACAACGTCGTCTCCTGGACAGCACTCCTCCTCGGCTATGCTGAAAACGGGGAGTTCTCTCTCGCTCTGGAGCTCTTCTCGGTGATGAGATTGGAGATGAGAGAGTGGGAGCCTGGAGCACAGACCTTCGTCGCCGCTCTCAAGTCGTGTGGAAGCCTGGCAGCTCTAGCTCCAATCCATGGCGATATATGCCGGTGTGGAATGGAGAACAACGGTATCCTTGCAAACTCACTCATGGACGTGTATGGGAAATGTGGAAGCATGCTCCACACCCTCCAGATCTTCGAGTCACTGGCAAGCAAAGATGTGGTCGCCTGGAACACGATCATTGCCGGTTCCAGTCGCCAGGGAGACACCAACGACGTCTTCCATCTCTTTGCAAGCATGCTAGACGAGGGCTGCAAGCCCGATGCCATCACCTTCGTTTGCCTTCTCACGGCTTGCAGCCATGGAGGTCTCGTGGCCAGAGGCAAGCTCTACTTCGAGAGGATGACTCGGGAGTTTGGCCTGGCTCCAGGCATCGACCACTATACTTGTTTGATCGATCTTCTCGGCCGGGCCAACGAGTTAGATGCGGCAATCCAGATTCTCAGGATCATGCCTGTGAGAGCAAGCCCAGCAGCGTGGAAGTCTCTCATGAGCTCGTGTAGAAAGTGGGGAAGCAGTGGTGTGGGAAAGCTTGCATTTGAGGCACTGGTGGAGATGGGCGATGGTGGCGATGCCTCTGCCTACTCATTGATGGCTAACATTTACCAAGGCTCCACAGGTTGATACGAAGGTCTTTTTGGATTAAAGAGAATTTGTATGTATATATGTATTTGTAACTGAATCTAGTCTATTCCTTCTTAATTAATACATTTATTCTTATATCCCAAGCATTTACATTGGTGGAAAAGAAAGGTAATGGGCTTTACTTAATGTTTAGGATTATGCTTTTGATTTTGTTTTATTGTTTTTTTTTCTCTAAATCTATATTAGTTTTTTGCCAGATCTAAACTTTTAGTTATTATTGTGTTTAGATTTTTTTTTTTTTATCTTCATTGTATTCTTTTCTTATGCCATGCCACACTGTCATAGATTAAAGAGTATATCATTTAAAGTTCTTGACCCTTCTATGTTAGATTGAGCTTTTGGAATATAGAGTGTAATCATATTAATATTGTGCTTGTCTTTAGTGTGTTGTTATCTCTAGCTTTTATGGGATATCATTATATAATTTTTTTTGTTCTTGGTGCCTTGTTATCTTTGGTTCATGTGAAACATAATTATAACATTGCTATAAATGATGTTATTCCATTTTTAAAGAATGTTTGAGGATCAAGTTATGAAATAACTATGTTTATGATTTTATTTATGATGTGGACCTTGATTATTATGGACATAGCTTTAAAGATCAGTTAAAAAATTTGTATGATAAATATCAATCCTTCAATCTATTATTTGATCTTTTCTTTTTTGCCTTTTCCTCTTTCCCAACCTTTTTTTATTTTTTGGCCTAACCCACCTTTTAATGTTCCTTATTTACAATATTTCTTTTTTTTTGGCATATCAATTATTTATAACTCTTATTATTTTTATTCTCAATCCAATGTTGGAGTCCTCTTCATACTAATTTAGATATTGAGCAAGTATGTGAAATTAAGAATATTGTTTTTATTTCTTTAAAAAAGTCTTTGAGTAGTTTTGGTGTTGAATGTTCCTCTACTCCAAGGGTTAATTTACTTTTGCCAAAGTTTCAAATTAATTGCATTTACCTAGTTATAAATGCCATAGAAAGTCTCTGTTTTATCATTGTTTTTTAGGAGTTTTTTCATTCCTTTAAAAGTGTGAAGTGTTTCTTTGATTTTTGTAAGATCTTGAATTTGCACTTCCTAGGAGGTTCAAAGTCAAGAATAATTAACCCAAAGTATCTTAAAATTTTTAATTGTATAAATAGTTTCTCAAGTTGTTCTCTATAGTTGCTTACAATTCACCACACTTCCCTACTTGGCTTAGGGTGTAAGGGATAGGATCCTAACATTGGTATCAGAGCCTTATTCGATTCTTGTGCCTGATGAGTGGGGCAAAAATATTCTAAAGGAATATTCAATATGGTGGATCTAGAGGGAGAACCAAAGTTTGGTAGACCTTAAAAGAAGGACCATGGTGACTGGAAGGTGGCCAAGTTAATGCCCCCATAAATGAAAGCTAAAAGTCACAATTACTTTACTTTTTTGACACCTTACCCTCAAGTTTAACATAACCTATACTAATATTAATCTCAATATATAAAATGATTTCTCTAGCTATGTAATAGAATTAGACCCTACCCCTTGAGTCTAGCATATCCTATACTAGACTGCCAAATGTTAATCTTAATATGTGGTGTGATTCCCCTAGCTAACTAATATATAATATGATTAACCTAGCTAACTACTAGAGTCAGACCCTGATACTAAATATAAACTCTTGAATTTAAACTTTCTAAAAAGTTACCCAATCTTAATATTACTTAAACCTAATGATGCTTAACCCCAAGTATCCTAAGACCTTTCACCAACTTAAAAGAGAAGATGCCTATAAGTGACTAAATTTTTTATTTTACTTTAGTCACATAACCACACTTTCAACCACATGGAAGAATCTCACTCACAACCTCCATAAATTTTATTCCAAACTTAAGGATTTGTTGGCCCTGAGAATGACATTTATGCCACTCAAGTTTTGCACTTGGTCCAAGTGCTCCACATGTCCGATCCCATAATTGACACTCAAAGGTATCACTAATAAATCAACATATTACACTAAATCCATACCCATTCACTTTTATCACATTGGTGGTCTAACACTACCTACATCACAATCCCGTTTCCCAAAAACTGGGCCATCCATCCATGAATGATCATCCCTTAACCACACTTTAACACCCTTAAAGTGCTCAAAGACATAAAGAATACCCTTCCTTAATATCCCTTCTTTTGTCCCCACCAAGTCCCTCTTTATTTATGGTTGTGCTTGCTAACACCACCACTGGATCAAGGCCCAAAGGCCTGACCATTAAATCCCACTGTCCTCTGGGAATTCCTCACCATATGACCATATCTTTAGTCACTACACTAGAGGATTATTCCTCTTCTTTTCCACACTCTGGGACTTTGAGGCAACATTTCAAAACACTACAACCCTATATAAACCTTATAAATACTCTCCCCACCTTTTGCCTTTAGGTGCTCTAGCGATGTGGCTAGAGTGAAGTTTCAATGAGCCATGCTAGGTATCCAAATAGGTAATACCACCCACATTTGGATTGGGAGCATTGACTGTTTGATCTCCTGGGGAAGTTAAATCTGACTCTTGAACAATTCACCAAATTACCCCGCTTGTTTGTTCGTATTCATTCTACCATTTGACTCCTTAGTGGTTATATCATCACTCAACAAATAGGTATAACCTTTCTTGGTCACACTAGCCTTTCCTAGCTAAATTGGCTCCACTAGAGTCTTCCCCCTACTATACTTTTAGAGCTTACCAAGCCCCTTAGGGTCTGGGAGAC